AAAAGAAGACCATGTTATTAACATTTTGCACTCTTGTATATCAAATTGGTTTCCATGGAAACACAAAACATAAATCGGACAATTTATAATTAGCAAAGGCACATCCAGAGGTCGCAGTGGATCAATTTCGAGTTGGGTAAAAATACGCAGACATTCCAAAATTTTGCGTTTTTGCCCTCTACATCTGCGTGACTTAGAACCTCTCAAAATACTCAATATAGAAGCATGTAAAGTCGTTTTGTGAACAACCCTATTTTAAGCGTCCTTATTTCATTGATATGCCTACTGTATTTAGTCTAATGACGACTGGAGGTTAACGGCATGTCTATGGTTGACGGCACAGTCATTTCAATCTTTCACCACGACAGGATGTAAAGAGAAAACTATCGGTATGAAAGCCAACATTTGAATGGCTGAATGTAAACAGTATATCTTGTTCTAGCCAATCCCAAGTCTTGTATGAAATACACTTTATTGCTTCCAATAGGATAGTTACGTAGGCTTACTGCCATGAACTTATGAATGAAATAAGAGGAAATATAAAAAACTACGGAGACTACGTGCAGTAGAGGTGTGTAAATGCCAGGTGAAGCACATAAATTGTACAAACTACGACTAGAATGATCTAATTATTCTCACGTCGGGGAAATTTTCTGCGTGTAAATTACGCAACGTCCGTCAATATTTGCGTTTATTTTGAAAAAAAATGTGTGAAATACGCAGTTTTTTGCGTGACTGCGACCTCTGGTAGGGTGACCCACCATAAATAAATATCTCCATATATCTCCATACATGTATATCTCGACAATTACGCCACAATATTTATATATATGCCAAGCCTCAAATCAGTTTCACACAATTATAGTCACTAAATAAACTATCATGTTGTACTTAATAAGCTATGACCATTTTTCATCTATAAATAATAGACTGAAAACTGGTTCCAAGTGTCGTCCATAACATCCAGACACTTTTGAGTAAAAGATAGGTTACGTGCCCTTGTTTTGAAATTAGTCTCGCTTAACCAGTCTATCAATCCATTCTACGTCTGATTAACAGGTCGGGATAATCAAGACTACTTTTTTACGAAACATAACAGAAAGCTAGAACAAGAAATTGAATTTAGAAATAAGCACGTTAGGTAGCTCAACAATCGTTTTAAGAACCTTGTAAAAGTAAAATGAAACTACTGCTAGTATAATGTTCCTGTCTAACCCGAATGTGATTCAGAGATATTATTTGTACTAAACCAAAAGATGCCACTCTTAACGGTACAGTTAATGATAAAGCGATTTAAAAAATGAAACGAGCGTAATTTCTAAATCTGCTGTAATAACCAAGAAGCTTATTTTCACTGCTATTTAAAATCGTCAACAATAAATTTTTTACGGCTGTAATAGTTGATAGATTTGTAGAGAATTGCACGTGCCATGGCTATTTATAGTATCATACTGTCAGAAAGTTGGTCTCGGCACGGCGAATGTGCACGCTTCAGTGGTAGTCTCGAACTATCAGCGGTGGACTGTATTTCTGTACAGTACATGGGTCACCCTACCTCTTGGCACAACTACTATAAAATGTTGATGTGAGGTACAAAGTTTCATAAAGATATCTTGAACAGTTTATGAGATGTTCTCCGAAACAAAATTGCGATAGAAGAAGCCTACATATATTTCAATATCCCTATATATAACGTTTTCCTATTTGCCATCATTTGGTTATGCCCTATACTGACATTACATTGCACTAGTACATTAACATCGGAAATGTATTCCACTTCGCGTGGTGAGCAGAAATGAAATACATGAAGAGTTTAACGTCCTACTGTTTTGCTTCTATACTGGGCTAATGAAGACGGGCATACGCCACACAGTGTACTATGATACTTTTATATCGAATTCCAACTGCCAAGGGATCTTTTACATGCATTCCAATGTATACACGGGACCTCGGTTTTTCATCTCATCCGAAGGACAAGACAGCTGTCCTGGTCAGGCCCTCCGTTCTGCACCACCGAAAAGGGGAAACCACGTCGGAAAATCTTGATGAACTTTCTGGGCCAATGCAGGGATTGAACACCCGAACTCCAGGCTAGCGAGCCAGCATTTTAACCACCTAGCCACCATGGCTTCCAGCGGTGAGCAGATATAGGTTTTACCAATATACATGTTTTTTTTCTGACGATAACCCATGAGGTTATACAATCAACCCTATTCATTGTTGCATACAAGTGTGAGATGGAAACAACTTGGCTCAATGATAGACCTTATGATCTAAAGCGCATGTGTTTGACCATTTCGACACACCCCCCCCACCAGACGTGTAGAAATGTGTCTTCTATTAATGTTTAACATCAGCTTTCGACGAAGGTGATATCGTAGGGCTAGAAATTCACGCGAATCGCCGAATCTAATATGTGCCGGGATTCTCGCAAGAGCTTACGCTGCCAATCGAAAAGGATTCGCGTAAAAAATTTCTAAAAAAAAAAAAAATCTCAGAGAATTGTCGAGTCCGACTATTGAATGTCAGTCAGGGTCAGTGTTCATCATGGGGCTGTATTTTGTCAGCTTTAGTCGATTGATGTTTATTCAAGCCGATTGGTAAAACAATGAATCGGCCACTATGGTATCGTAAATAATCAATCTACTTTTGGCTAAATTACAACACGTTAATTATTATTTGTTAATTAAGAAGACAATCAACTTGCTTGTCAGCTACAACAACAGTCATACCTTAGTGATAATCCGGTAAAATAAACAAAACAAGCTTGGTGATTATTCAGTAAAATAAGCCACGTGGTCATGGAAGACGGTCTCGGCATGGTTTCCGAATTGCCAGTCTTCCATGGTCCGTCCGTGTGACTTCCAGGTACTGGTAGATATTAAAATAATAACTGGATAATACATTGATGGATTCACTGACCAGTTGTTAGGTAAATTTAAATCTTCATTGAATATAATCCCCTGATAGAACATCGAATACACAGAGAGAGAAACAGTGGATATTATCCCCGACAGAATCTCCACTGCCGAATTCCAATGACACGTGACATATTGGTTGGAATTATGTCGATAAACCAGTTCTAAATAGCGTTTACTGTTAGGATTTTTTATTTTATACACTACTGACAGACGCTTAATTTTAAAAATATTATTGAAGGCTACATTTATATCATAGTCGTACAGAAATTTATTTTATAGCAATTTTAGTTATGGTTGTCACGTGATCATTGTGCTGTTTGTCTATCATCGACGAATGAATAAAAACTTTTGCAAGTTACGTGACTGTTACATGATGGACAAAGGACTACAAATTGTGTTATGAAGAAATGCCACAGCGCTGTATCAGCTTATTTTGGCTACGTCATTTTCTGATACTGGCAATAAACAATAAACACAATTTTGTTATTTAGTCAATATTATTGAGATTCGAAAGGTCGCGCACATTGCATACATGACATGTATATGAGAATTCTCTTAGATTCCCGCAAAAAATGACGAATTTCTAGCCCTGTATCGCAGACAAGTTTGTCTTATTTTATTATGTGTAGTGCTCATGCAAATGTCTTTCCTGTGGGAGGAAACCGGGGTAAACCCACGAGGTTGAGAAGCACCCATATTGCCAAGCCACATAAGCTCACACCAGGAATCGTAGCTATGACTGCAAGCCAGAGGTGACCAACCAGATAGAGCTCGAAGAACGGCACTCCAGACCATTATGTCATTCCCCTCACTATAACTATATGAATAACAGAAAGCCTGTAATCTGTTGATAATAAACAGGTTATTGAACAGACTGATTGATTAAACCAGATCAATAATGATCCATTAATTGATACACAATAGATCAATCAGGATACAATCAGTCATCTTGTCAACATAAACACCAACAAGTTGACTTGTCAAAACATCAAGGATACTGAAAACCATAGACCTCTACCTGTACACTGCCTTTTGCAGGAAAACAATGTGCAAGCAAGAGAGAGCGAGAGAGAGTTTAAAATCTACTGGACACAAACTAGGTCATTTCGGACAAAAATATATGGTTCAATTCTATTTAAAAAATTTGTGTTAAACCACTTGCCATCCAAATTAGTCATTTGGTACACATACAACTTGTGGATGAGATGTGTTTAATATACATGTACATTCTAGGCTTTGCCCTTTTCTCGATGCCTATTCAGCAGGCCTGGAAGTAAGTTTTTCCTGTGTAATCTACCATTACAATGTCATTAAAAACACTGATATTTAAAATACAATCAATGTCATTAAAAACACTAATATTCATATTGCAAATACAGAAGTTAACCCATCGTAAAACAAGAATAAATGAAGATGGCATGAGTTCTTTGCAACATTTATCAGACCATTTTTATAAGCAAAAAATCTACAAGATGTGTATCTCTAACTGTACGTGTAAGGATGACATGTTAATGTTTTAGTTGATGGGAATTCATGTACCCATGGGCATGGACCATAATCATTGAACAAACTTATTAACAAAGATTATACATGTGTACATGGGTTCTATTTTACAACACGTGTATGTAGGCTAAGCTAAGTCTAATATCACTCCACTCAATTAGTCCTAGGCCTATGCTCTGTAGTGTAAAGTACTGACAGTTCAGTTCAAATTTCCTTGACAATTTTTACATCTAGTACGTGTATTGACTACAATATTAATCTAGAGATTTCAGGACCAATCATAAATTTTGCATGTACCTGAGTATCAGATACAAACTAATTCTGACCATCGTAGAATCAGAAATCGTACAACGTTTACTCATACTGTGGAAGTAATGAGTGCTGACAGTTCAGTTTTTCATAACATTGAAATGAAAAAAGAAATGAGAGCTGATATGGGGTGTATTTTTGCCATCTTGATTCTTCGTTTAAAACACTTTTTAATTGCAAAATTTATTCATGGATTGTTTGTGAATAACAAAAGGGGATTTCTACAGGAATTACTCTTCGAGTAAGTGAGAAAACAAATTAACAAACCTGGTGCAAAGCTGTAAGACCGTCGATATTCGAAGTGTTTATGTCAGCCCCTCGGTCTAAAAGTTTCTTAACTTCTTCCGTATCGCTGCTCGAGCAAGCAGCCAGGAATATACATCCATCTTGAAATTTGACTCTTAATCTTTCTTCCCGAATGGAAGAAGAAACTCGATTAGTCTCAGAATCCTCCCACCGTTTCAATTGTTCGTTACGCCTAAATAGTGCACTCATTTGTTTTTCGTCCGCCATTACCTTTGGAAGACGTTTGCGCACCGTTACCAAGTCTCATTTTACCCATTGCATTACATGTTAGCAATTTCTGTAAGACATGTTAATCAAGACAATCTTTTAAGGATATCAAGAGCCCTCTGACGGAATACAGGGGAGGTAATCAAATAAATTAATTTGCAAGGTCAAACACTCGACGAGTCCAGAAATATAGTATTTCTAAGATTGTTGACCAATTTCAAACGTCCCGCCTCCCCCTCAACCCTTTTTTACTTGCATATTATTTTATCTCCAAAATATTTATATTTAGAACTAAAGTAGTCAATATACAATGTTAAATCATTTTAAAATAAGTTTTGAATGAATCATGAAGCAAATCGAATACCCATAAAAATAGTAGATAATTTCTATAAATAGAAAACCGAGGTATTGCGAATGAACAAAACTTGTGAGACAAATTGGGGAAAAATGTCGAACACGAAAGTATTGGTTCCCCTGTCTCTGACTAATTCATTACATCACAAGCTTATAATAACAGTTCGCCTTTTGTCCACAGCGGGAAATAGGAAGGATGACCGAATACGTCAAACTAGATTGGAGACTAGATTGGAGAGCACAAAACAAGGTGACTATTGTAATTTCGGCTTTTATTCTTTAGTTTTAGCCATTTTAGGCTTGTCTTGTTGTGTAGCATAAACTTTTAATTAGAGATAATAGACTGACATGCTTTATAGTTTACAAGTCAACATACATGTAGCAAAGACTTTTGTGTTGACATTCTGAAAACGTGAATAAATACAAAAGATACTATATCTGGGCGCAGTACGCCATGGTTAGGGTAAGGGTAATTAGTGGTGAAATCTTGTAAGCGGTAAGGGTTAGTCAGTTAGTGTTAGAATCTTGTGAAATCGTGTGGAAGTCAAAAGTAGCCGGGTCAACGTGCTGGGCCTATATCTGCATCACTGGAAATTATGATTTTTGTTCGCTTTAAATGTAAAATGTAATGTTGAAAAACCGAATCTGTGCCAGAATGATCGGAGGGAAGGGGCCTAACAATATCTGTGACAGGTTCCTTATTTCCAGGGCATGCTAGTTCACTCATCCACAATCAAATTCCTTCTGAGTTAACTCATCCAGTCAAGATGAAATAAAATGAAATGGGGTTTAGCGTTTGACTGTTCTGCTCCGACTGGGCTAATGAAGACAGGCATACACAGTGTGTTATGAGGGAAATTTTGCCCGGGCAGTGACGCTATCGCCTACTCTTATATTGAATTCAAACTGCCAAGGAATCTTTTACGTGAACACCACAGGACAAGAGGAGACCACATTGGAAAATCCTGATGAAATTTCTTGGCCAATGCAGGGATCGTACACGTGAACGCCAGCGTCTTACCTACTTAGCCACTGTGGCTTCCTTCATCATAGTTTGACTCACCCACAAGGTATTGCTTACATGTATGTCTGTGACTAATAATTGACTTGTACACAAATTGAATCAAATCGGTTTTACTCATCAGTTGTTTTTGTTTTAAAATCAAATAGCAATCAAGCGTGTTTAAGAATGTTTTAATACATCAGGGAGGCCACGGTTGCATAGTAAGTAAGACGTTGCCTCGCTAGACTGAAGATTCCGTGTTTGAGGTGTTGGCCGTGACTTTTCGGCTTGGTTCCAGGTTGTCAGTGGTGCAAAATGAAATGAAATGGGGTTTAACGTCCTAACCTGTTCTGCTCCTAACCTAGGCTAATGAAGACAGGCATACGCCATACACTATGAGGGAAATTTTGCTCGGGCAGCGGCGCTACGGCCTACTCTTATGTCGAATTCCAACTGCCAAGGCATCTTTTACGTGTACGCTAATGTGTACACGGGACCTCGGTTTTCGTCCCATCCAAACGACTAGACAGCTGTCTTTGTCAGGCCCTCCATCCTGCAACACTGACAAGGGGAAACCACTCTGGAAAATCTGGATGAACCATCTCGGCCAATGCAGGGATTGAACACCCGACCTCCAGGCTAGCGAGCCAGCGTCTTACCCACTTAGCCACGTGATTCCCGTCAGTGGTGCAGGATGAATAGTTGTTTGGATGGGTTAAAAAACAAGGTTCTGCTTACCCATTGGTGCGCGCATAAAAGAAACCTTCACATTTGTAATTCGATATATATGTGTAAGAGTAGTCAGTAAGAATAAGAAAATCAGCTGTCTAGTTGTTTGGATGGGATGAAAAACCAAGTTCCTGTGTCACATTGGAATGCACATAAAAGATCCCTTGGCAGTTGGAATTCGATATAAGAGTAGGCCATAGTCCTGCTGTCCATGCAAAATTTCCCTCATAGCACACTGTATGGCGTATACCCGTCTTCATTAGCCTGGTCGGAGTAGGACGTTAAACCCCATGTTATTTCATTTCAGTCTGTAAGCAAATTAAGTGATGTTGTCAATGTGTCAGTAAAAACAATTAAAACTGACTTGTACAGTGACATTATCAGTAATTTAATAATAGTAGTAGTACCGTCCGACATGTATCAAATCCAGTACATGGATAATGTCTAGGTCTCAATAAAAATAGTAATTTTTACCTAATGTTTAAATGGCATTTAATGATTGGGAAACACATTAAAGATACATTATGTAAGATTTAGATAAAGAGCTGTACTTTTTCGCTATAATAGTTCAAAAATAGATAATGAGAAATAAATATATTGAAAATTTCATTCAAATTCTTTTATTCTAAGCGGCGTTATCACTATTTGAAGTTTTGATAAGATGTGTGCATTGATTGTTTATTATCGTAACCACAGTACTGGTATATTCAAGACGGTCTAATCTAGTTAAAATCTTGAGTATCTGATGGCATTCAGAATTGCTTATGGTCTTGTCATGTTAATAAATGTCTAATTAATAATTTATATAACATTTAAGGCCTAAAGAAAGACTTAATAATATATCTTTTACAGGACACAATTTTTATGGGAAACAATACCGTTATCAAGGTGTCAATGACAGTCCTTCATGTTTATAAAATTGTGCGGGAGCCATAAAAAGCTCCTGATTCCTTGAATATATGCAGTTTAAAAGTAAACAAAAACTGAAAGTAGTTTATTAATCTCAATATTTAGGAGAGCGATTTAGCTAATTTGCTGGGCCCTTATTCACGAAAACTTAAACTAAGATACAATCAAAATTTTAAGAAATACTGCAATTCGATTGGCTGACCAATATGCAAATTGGATATATGCAAATTGATTTTACTGGTCAGCCAATCGAATTGCAGTATTTCTTAAAATTTTGATTGTATCTTAGTTTAAGTTTTCGTGAATAAGGGCCCAGGAGTCTTTAATGACTCCTTTGAAGGAAAGCCGACGTGCTTAGAGAGGAGCAGGAGCAAATGCTCCCCTTAAACGTGAAGGACTGCAATGAAAACAAAACTTTTTCGAGTTCATTCAACCTATTATTTGAAACTTTTCAACCTATTAATTGAAACTTTTCAACCTATTATTTGAAACTTTTTTGAGTTGATTCAACATATTATTTGAAACCTTTTCAGATGAAGAAAAAGATTTCCGTGTGTTCCAGATAAAAGGTTTGAATCAGAGAAGCAAGAGGGATCAAAGAAAAAATGATGCTCCGGTAAGTATAATCACAGGTGTTAATGCTCACACAGTTTCTACCAATTATGATTAAATTTTTCGACAATTACCTTTTTCCCTGTGGCGATAATTTTTCAATCAGATTTAAAACGGGCCTCTCAACAATTGGTGCAGGCAGGCTTATTACATAGCAAGCAGCATACATGTAGCTCAGAGAAGTTTCAATTCCACATATCTTTGTAAATACTGGATTGAATATTCCTGTAGATTTATATTTCACAATATTTAAAAAAAGAATTTAAAACTGTCCCTGGGATACCAGTTTCCATTTCATTTCGACACTTATTCTAGCAATTACACTCGGATCAACATTGATAGATGCAAACGGTCACTGACCTGTTTCATTCATCCATCATTTCGGGCTTGGGTTTATGATAAATAAATATTTATAAACCTGTTTTTTATCGCTATGTCTTTTCTCTTTTCATTCCTTCATCAATGGTATTTTTTTTATAATAAAGTCAGTTAAACATTTTACTGCCCAAATCAATCTTTTAAAAACAACTTCCAGTAAAAAATTTCACTGTATCAAGTAACCTTTAGCAACAACCTCGGGCCACATATATTTTACTGTCACGTATTTGACAACAACGTCCAGTAAAACATTTTACTGTCCAAATTAATCTTTTAAGAACAACTTCCAGTTAAAAATTTCATAGTGTCAAGTAACATTTAGCAACAACTTCAGGCCACATATATTTACAGTCAAGTAAACTTCTTAACTCAACTCTCAAGCATTGTATTGTGTCAAGTAATCATTATCAACAACTTTCCGTCAAACATGTTACTACTACAAGTAATATCTAACATCAACTTGGCGTCAAAGATGTTACTGCGCCAAGTAATATCGCTAACTATAACTTAGCGCCATATATATTACTGCACCAAGTAATGTCGTTAACTACAACCCCCCCCCCCCTTTTCCTATCTCTCCTACATACACACCCCATTTAGTTTTGGTCCATGATAATACCCCGTCTTCAACTCCACACAGACTTTTTAAGTCCTACTCTAACCCCGGTACAGCCTATTTTCTACACCCCAGTAAGATACCAAACCCCGGTACAGGCTATTTTCTACATCCCAGTAAGATACCAAACCCCAGTACAGGCTATTTTCTACACCCCAGTAAGATACCAAACCCCGATACAGGCTGGTTTTAAGACATAGACCCCCCCCCCCAGTGAGATAAATTAGTCTGAAGAGTTCTATTAGGACGAAACTAGTCACTGCTAAAAGGGATAACTGGTCAAATCGCCCATCTTTATCTAGCCTACATTATTTCCTTACAGAGAATGCAACCACGATATATAAATATGAAGCCAGATGACGATTGGACGAATGTCTGGCCGACTGCTTCCACCTTCAAATGGTCTGCAATACCGTTTCCCGTACGCCAGGGATACACTGATGTAAGTGAAATGAAATATGGTTTAACGTTCTACTGTTCTGCTCCGCCTGGGCTAATAAAGACGGGCATACGCTATACAGTGTGAAAGAGTATGATGAAAATGGCCTACTATTAAATAAATTTCCAACTGCCAATACATTCACACCAATGTACACAGGACTTACTATCCAAATTGCCAGGCCCTCTGTCCTGCATTAATGAGAGAGTGAGAGAGAGAAATGGGGTTTAACATCCACTCAACACAAACTAGGTCATTTTGGGACTAACATACCATTTAATTTTATTTGAATAATTCGCTTGCACGTAGGGCTCTTTGCAGTGGAAGGAAACCGGAGGACGCAGAGAAAATCCACAAGATTGGACAGGAGACCCTACTCCTTGTCATGTACCACCATGCCATTTGACTCAATGACAGACCTTATGATACAAAGTGCACACGCTAACCATTCAGCCATCCATCCCCCCATTACTGAAATGTCTTTAGACGAAGAACAAATTTTAATTTCATCTGCTTAAACTATTTTATTTTGTAGAATCTATCTGAAAATGAGAATGTTACACCTGGTCGCTATGCCAACACAGAATTACTCAAGATTCCCAACTTTCTACATTTATCACCTGGTCATATTAAGAAACATTGTCAGGTGTTAAAAGGTAATTAATTTATTTATTCATTGAATGCTGTCCGTCTTTCGTAAAGTATGCAAGTAATGGGATTCAGGAACTGTATTGTACCACATATATATTTTGCCAATCTGATTAAAATACAGATCTATATTTCATTTTTGTTTTTGTATACTTTCGATGGCCTCTACTACATGAAGATCTGACTGGATGTACTGGAAGGTTGCGTCAGGGGTCATACGAGCGACTTTTGACCCTATTTCGTCAGACATTTGATTAACCAATTCAATCAGCGTTGATGCTTCTAGTGGGTTACCCACAGTTTCCTGCACCTCACACCAAAAACTTGCCGTAACAGACCGGTTTATTGGGTAATCCCTCACATCATCCAGAACACATAAATGATAACAACTCTTCCAGATCCTCGTGTAGCAAAGACAAGTAAAACCAAATTTTGAATTAACAAACGAAACGAAATAAAATCTGTATTTTAATCAGATTAATATTTTGCATTTGTTTTAATGAATGAGTAAAATTATTTGTATGTTTTAATGAATGAGTAAAATTATTTGTTTGTTTTAATGAATGAGTAAAATTATTTGTATGTTTTAATGAATGAGTAAAATTATTTGTATGTTTTAATGAATGAGTAAAATTATTTGTATGTTTTAATGAATGAGTAAAATTATTTGTATGTTTTAATGAATGAGTAAAATTATTTGTATGTTTTAATGAATGAGTAAAATTATTTGTTTGTTTTAATGAATGAGTAAAATTATTTGTATGTTTTAATGAATGAGTAAAATTATTTGTATGTTTTAATGAATGAGTAAAATTATTTGTTTGTTTTAATGAATGAGTAAAATTATTTGTTTGTTTTAATGAATGAGTAAAATTATTTGTTTGTTTTAATGAATGAGTAAAATTATTTGTTTGTTTTAATGAATGAGTAAAATTATTTGTATGTTTTAATGAATGAGTAAAATTATTTTTTTAATAGATTTTTGTACGCCATGGCCAGCTGGTTTGGAGACAGATGAATTATGTGATCAACATTTTCCTTTAACTATCAAAACACGAGATTATTGTTTTTCTAGCCCGTCTGTTGCTGATTCACGATCACGTTTAGTTACTGTCAAGGTCAGTTTGTAAATATTTAAACATACATTATGCGAGAGCTAAATCTGCCTACTGCAGGTCTTTATTCTGGCTTTTGGGGATCACGTGGCTAAGTGTGTAAGACGCTAGCTCGCTAGCCTGGAGGTCGGGTGTTCGATCCCTGCATTGGCCGAGAAAGTTCATCCAGATTTTCCGGCGTGGTTCCCCCTTGTCAGTGATGCAGGACGGAGGGCCTGACAAGGATAGCTGTCTAGTCCTTCGGATGAGACGAAAAACCGAGGTCCCGTGTATACATTGGAATGCACGTAAAAGATCCCTTGGCAGCAGGGCTGCCGACAACCAGTATCGCAGCGCAATTTGCGATACATATTTTGTCCGTTGCTAATCAAAAATTAAAATCTAACGTTTTTGATTCGCAGTAATTGCGAATCATTAATATGCCTGTCATTTTGGATATTGACACAAAGATTTATCCACATTTCTCAACACTTTCAACGTGTATAAAATATCAAATAAATTTTTATAAACAAAACGGAATTCTCCGTGTGACATTTTCTTCTCGAACTACCCAGACTTAATTCATTATACTATATAATACAGGGACATAACTCTATGAATCGGGACTATTAAACCGGAAATAGGGAATCAACTAGTACCACTCACGTTGCGAGACATGTCAATTTCGAGTAATTATATCAGTATTCAATTTGAAAAAAAATAAATTCAGTGTATCCCCCACGTATTGTAAATAAAATATAAAAAATAAATATGTGTAAACGTATTGTAAAATGAGAAATCAAAGTAAGAATTCCTGTAAACTGTTATTGTTTATATCGCGTACGTCTAGTTAATCGAGATTATTCGTAAAATACTGCGATTGAACAAAAATAATAACACACGATAAAAAGCAGACGAAATTGTTTTCTAACGAAGAAATAAGAAGCCACTGCCAAGAATTGGCTTCAGACATAAGGCCTAACCAAAAGTCTACATTCATTCAGAAATGTTCACAGGTACCTGTAGAAGTGCTAAAATTCTAAAAATCTTAAGAATGAAATCTAATCATTTGTTATCAATTAAAATAAAAATAATCTTGTTATTTAGGTGTTTTATGTTGAAACTGAAAAACTGCTAATCAATTTTTAAATTATTTAATCAAATTTGGCAAAATTGGACTTTTTGATTAGCAGTGCTGCTAATCATCTGTGAAAAATTACCGACAGCCCTGCTTGGCAGTTGGAATTCGATATAAGAGTAGGCCGTAGTGCCGCTGTCCGGGCAAAATTTCCCTCATAGCACACTGTATGGCGTATGCCCGTCTTCATTAGCCCAGGTTAGGAGCAGAACAGTAGGACGTTAAACTCCATTTCATTTCATTTATTCTGGCTTTAAAATATTGTAGGTTTTTATTTTGGCTTTAAATGTTATATATATTAATTAAACATTTATTCACATGACTTCAAATCTATACATAGATTATTAATTAAACATTTATTTACATGACACGCCTATAATCAACTCTCAGACCATCAGATTGTCGCAGCAGACCATCAGATTATCCGTTTTAAAGGCTCAAACCTATGGAATTCTTTACCATCTTACTTAATACTGACCACTAACTTAAATTCTTTCAAGAAACAACTTTTTAAATATTTTAATGTCAAAGAATAATACTGATACCCTCTACATGTATGTCCATATATAAAAATAATGTATTTTTCCTTGTTTCACATTTTTATGCCTTTTGCTATTGTTAATTATATGGGTTTTTTGGGGGGGGGGGGGAGGGAGGGGTATGTTATTATATCTGTCTCCTTTGGTGCTGTCATCTTTTGTATCATAATTTCATCCTGATTATTTTATACACCTATTCATCCTTCTCCTTTATTTGTTATGCTATCATCTTTTGTATTATATTTTTTCATGAAGAGCAGGATGGTAGAAAGGCTTCCACAGCCTAATCCTTTACCCTTCTTAAATAAAGTTATTATTATTAATTTCAATGGATTAATACACAATATTCATTTGATAATTTGATTATAAAATAGATACGGGATAATCAAGACTTTGTTTATAATCGTAACAATGGTACTTGATAATCGTGACTATGTTGTGAACACTCCAAACCCCCAATAAGTCACTCAATTACTGTCAAGGTCAGTTAGTAAATGTTTGATTATGCCTGCATCATAACGTATTCCTTGCAAAACATGAGCCTTAAAGAAAAACCTGGCATCTTTAAGCCAACTGTCACCGACATAGTCTGCTAAAAGTTCCAACTCTAAGGGGCTAACCTTAGGCCCTGTTGGCTTTGGGGGGACCACGTGGCCAAGTGGGTAAGACACTGGCTCGCTAGCCTGGAGGTCGGGTGTTCGATCCCTGCATTGGCCGAGAAAGTTCATCCAGATTTTCCGCCGTGGTTTCCCCTTGTCAGTGACAAGGACAGCTGTCTAGTCGTTTGGATGGAACGAAAAACCGAGGTCCCGTGTACACATTGGCGTGCACGTAAAATTTCCCTCATAGCACACTGTATGGCGTATGCCCGTCTTCATTAGCCCAGGTTAGGAGCAGAACAGTAGGACGTTAAACCTCATTTCATTTCATTTCATTTCTGTTGGCTTTGACGTGGCCTACTGGTAAGATGAGTGATGAAGATGTTAAAAAACATGGCTACCGATATAAACATCAAATTCAACTCCATATCTTACCCCACGTCAAAAACGACAACTTGGCTGATGTGGAATGTCAAGCATAACGTCATCGCAGCCATGTTGTAATTGTAACATTATTCCTAAAATTGAGGTCCGTCAATCGTGCACATTTGTCCAAGGAACAGGGCTGTCAGATTGCATGTCAATTGTACTTGAAGAGCCTCGCCCTGAGAAGAACAATTAGATAAGTGTTACTGGCCCAGGTTCTTTGGTTTAGAAAAACAACTGGCTCATACATAAAATATTTTCTCTTTTAGTTAAAATTAGCTGATTTAAGACTGGATGAACATGGTGAAGACAAGATTAAAAGACTGTTAGGGGATAAATATGATCCAGAGACAGGGGAGATAACCTTGAACACAGACAGGTGTGTATGGAATCAGACCACCAAAGATTTTCATATTACATTAATGTTAATTCTTATGTCTTTGCTCTGCATTACCTGTTTCTTAGATGGAGAAACACCTGACAATGTCTTGCTCTAAAACTTGTATGATGTTGACCGTGGAAATTTTGAGATACAGAAATCGATATACCTTGAACTCTCCACCACACATTTCACTCACATAACTCTGTTATCCTACAGCCTCTATATCATGAATATCCACCAAAACCTGTCAGAAAATGTCAGTTTTAAACCTCGTCTTCGATTCTAGACTAGAAAGTTAAAAAAAAGTCACTATGGGGGTGGAGCTATACATTCGTGGGAAGTGAGATAAGGGGAAGTAATTAGTCTAAAAGTTTGTATGTAGCAGTTTGTCATCAGTGCCAGATTTATACGAAGATAGGCCCTAGGCTATTCCAAAAATTAGGCCCTCACAATTCCCAAACCTAACAATTTAGGGTGACGAACGTGTGATTTAAACACAGTTGAGCCAAGGATGATGACCGCTGTTGAGAGAGAGAAATGGGGTTTAACGTCCACTCGACACAAACTAGGTCATTTCGGGACTAACACATGGTTCAATTTTATTTCCATAATTTGCTTGCGCGTAGGGGTCTTTAGCAGTGGGAGGAAACTGGAGGACCCGGAGAAAACCCACAAGGTTGGACAGGCGACCCTACTCCTTGTCACATACAACCGGGGATTCAAAACCACGCCAGTTGACTCAATGACAGACTTTATGATACAGCGCGCATGTTAAGACCACAGTCCATGTAAGAAAGGCAAATGACAGTGTTAAAAATATTATAAATGTTGGCATGTGGCCGTGGGTTTCTGTCTGCCATGTCTATTGGTATATCCTGTATATCAAGTACAATGTCCAATCAACATTGATCAGGTCATTTTGGGGATAAACTATTTGTGTATTGTATTGTAGATATCCTCTGATTGTATTGATTGTGTATTTTATATTGTAGATGTCCTCTGATTGTATTGATTGTGTATTGTATTGTAGATGTCCTCTGATTGTATTGATTGTGTATTTTATATTGTAGATGTCCTCTGATTGTATTGATTGTGTATTGTATTGTAGATGTCCTCTGATTGTATTGATTGTGTATTTTATATTGTAGATGTCCTCTGATTGTATTGATTGTGTATTGTATTGTATTGTAGATATCCTCTGATTGTGTATTGTATTGTAGATATCCTCTGATTGTATTGATTGTGTATTGTATTGTAGATGTCCTCTGATTGTATTGATTGTGTATTGTATTGTAGATGTCCTCTGATTGTATTGATTGTGTATTGTATTGTATTGTAGATATCCTCTGATTGTGTATTGTATTGTAGATGTCCTCTGATTGTATTGATTGTGTATTGTATTGTAGATGTCCTCTGATTGTATTGATTGTGTATTTTATATTGTAGATGTCCTCTGATTGTATTGATTGTGTATTGTATTGTAGATGTCCTCTGATTGTATTGATTGTGTATTTTATATTGTAGATGTCCGTTAAAGAAACAGAATTATGATTATGCGATGTATCTGTTAACTGCTTTATATTACGAGGCGAAGGTAAATATAGTTATAATATCTAAACAGATCTTGAGCCCTGCATTGGCCGATCAAGTTCATCCAGATTTTCCGGCGTAGTTCTCCCTTGTCAGTGATGCAGGACAAAGTGCCTGACAAGGACAGCTGTCTAGTCATTCGGATGGGACAGAAAACCGAGGTCCCATGTACACATTGGCGTGCACATAAAAGATCCCTTGACAGTTGGAATTCGATATAAAATTTCTCTCATAGCACACTGTAAGGCGTATGCCCGTCTTCATTAGCCCAGTTCGGAGCAGAACAGTAGGACGTTAAACCCCATTTCATTTCATTTAGTAGGGTCAAGATACTAAATATATAGAGAGAGAGAGAGAGAGGGAGAGAAATGGGGTTTAACGTCCACTCGACACAAACAAGGTCATTTCGGGACTAACATGGTTTAATTTTATTTCAATATTTCGCTTGCGCGTAGGGGTCTTTAGCAGTGGGAGGAAACCGGAGGACCCGGGAAATTTCACGAAATTGGACAGGCGACCCTACTCCTTGTCACGTACAACCAGGGATTCAAAAGCACGCCAGTTGACTCAATGACAGGCCTTATGATACAACGCGCACGTGCTAACCATGCTAATTTCCTAGTCAGCTCTGTAGGCCGCACATCTGTTAGGTGAAGGCCAGTGTCAGCTCAAGGGTTAAAACTTGGAAATGTCCAGTGTCCTGACTACTTGATTACCACAGCCCAGTGCCCTGACCATTTGACTACCACAGCCCAGTGCCCTGACCATTTGATTACCACAGCCCAGTGCCCTGACCATTTGACTACCACAGCCCAGTGCCCTGACCATTTGATTACCACAGCCCAGTGCCCTGACCATTTGACTACCACATCCCAGTGCCCGGAAATCAGCACTAAGACCGAATAGCATTTACACTATGAAAATGTAACCATGCCGTACAGAGAAGGGTGTCAAGACCGCCTCACTTCAGTTTTCTAGATTGGCATTGTTCTCAGTATGGCACCGTTATGATTCGATCCGTTTTCACTGCAAAAAAATTAACTGTGCCGTTCTGGGAAGCTTAAAATGTATGATGTGAAGAGGGTTATTGTGTTTGTTATCTGCCCCTGTCATTGTGATAGTTATCTTCCCCTGCCATTGCAATAGTTATCTGCCCCTGTCATTGTTGCTACAGTTATCTGCCCCTGTAAATAAAACCAAGATGATTGTTTGTTTTTGTATAGAAAGTGGAACCATGGGAGCTAGAGAAAGACGAAGCAGACATAAATAAATTCACCTGGGAACAGAGTCAGTCGAAAAGAAATATTTTAAAACTTTTAGAACAGAATGAAAAGGTGGGTTATAAATGTCTTCCGGACCCAAACTTGAAATAGTTTAATGTAACAGGATGCATCACTAAAGGGATGTCGTGCTTTCCCCCTTGTCAGTGATGCAGGATGGAAGACCTGACAAGGACAGCTGTCTAGTCGTTCGGATGGGACGAAAAACCGAGGTCCTGTGTACACATTGGCGTGCACGTAAAAGATACCTTGGCAGTTGGAATTCGATATAAGAGTAGGCTGTAATGCCGCTGCCCGGGCAAAATTCCCCTCATAGCACGTCTTCATTAGCCCAGTTTAGGAGCAGAACAGTAGGACGTTAAACCCCATTTCATTTCATTTCATTTCTAAAGGAATGTAAATCGCTGATTTGAGGTCAGAATGAAGAATCTGAATCTGGTGTGTTATGTCGGCTAGGTCTAAAAATTAAGGCCAGCTGCATATTTGGTCAATGGTTACATAGCACTCGCCCTAACCGTAACCCACAATCTCGTGAACAATACAAGTGTCCCAGCCCTGTTTACATCTAGCCACCTTGACAAAACTTTTAGACATTTATTAACATGACAAGACCATAATTAACTCTCGATGCCATCGGATAATCAAGATTTTAACTAGATTTTAACAGTTCGGCTATTTAATGATTTAATTTTAAAATGGGGATGCAAGGCTAAGCCTGAAATATACCTGTACTGTGGTTACCATAAACAATCAATGCACACATCTTTCAAATCTACAAACAATGATAACGTGGCTCAGAATAAAGTAATTTGACTGAAATTTTCAATATATTCCTTATTCATTATCTATTTTTGAACTATTATAACAAGAACGACCTGCTCTTTATCTAAATCTTGTATCTTTGAAGAATATAGTCCTATTTATTTTTCTGCCATGTTTGTTTTTCAGAGATCAGAGGAGGAGATATTAAATAAAGAGGAGATAAAGTTGTACGCTAGTTCTGTAACGGAATTACACAATGAAGGGGAGAATTATACAACTATTAATAAATATAAACAATCTGTTTTACAATTACTCAACGTTAAATCAAGGCTGACATAGAATAAACTTATTATTTATATATAAAAAATGATTTAGATTTCAATTTGAGGAAGAAAGTGAGGGGCACACGACAGTTTGTCATGGAAATCATGCAACTTGATGCAAGTGGCAGGAAATCAGAGGACTCACAGAAAGCATTGGAGTCTGGGGGGATTGGATGGCCGAATGGTTAGCGCGTGCGCGATGTTTCATAAGGTCTATCATTGAGTCACCTGGCGTGGATTTGATTCCCCGGTTGTACGTGACAAGGAGTAGGTTCGCCTGTCCAACCTCTGGGTTCTCTGGTTTCCTCCCACTGCTGAAGACCCCCACGCTCAAGCGAATTATTGAAATAAAATTGAAATGACCTAGTTTGTGTTGAGTGGACGTTAAACCCCATGGGAGCCTACTCCTCACGTCCAATGACTCAATGATCTATAGAACATGCGATAAACCAGTAGACAAACCAACGCATGACACACATAATTTTATTTCTATGATTTGTTTGTGTGTACGAGTCTTTAGCAGTGCGGGGGCACTTACTTGGTCTCATGGGGCAGGGGCAGGGACTTACTTGGTCTCATGGGGCAGGGGCAGGGACGAAGCAGAGGTAGCTATATTCTCCCTATGTTACTAGATACAATTAGTTACTCCATCTTCTAACAAAAAAGGGACACAATGGCAGAGGGGTTTTAATGTCCTATTGTTTCTGTTCCGACTGGGCTAATGAAGACGTGCATCCGTCATACAGTGTGCTATGAGGGAAATATTGCCCAGACAGCGGCACTACGGCCACCTCTTATATCGTGTGTTAACGTAACCTAGATTTTTTCGCTCCACTCCGCTGAGTAAAGTGTTTCAAGTCATTAAGATGTAACGAAAATAGAATCACACCCATGGCGAGATGATTTCAATGGTATTTACTAACTGAACTGGAAAAAAAAACAGTACACAATTCTATGGAAGTCCCTGTGGCCACTATATTGACGGACAGTATAGATTTCTGAACCAGTGCCTTGTTCACTGAGTCACCGCGGCTCCCTCTTAACAGAAAGTTATTTGAAAATACTTTGGACATGTTTTTGTTGGTTTTTGTGCAAATTCTTGCAATTTCCTGTAATCAGTTGTCCCTATTGGATCCATTGAAAAGAATTCTGAGAATGTGAGAGTGGCCGATTGTTTTGGTTTGTTGTGAAAGCCTGCCAACCGTTGTTGTAAAATAAAAGGCTCGTATTAAGCTCTTCACCAAATCATATCACCAAACAACAATGTTGCTATATACCCCAACGACAATACCTTTAAACGACAATGTTATTATATACCCTCCAACCTGGGTTTTCTCCGGGTCCTCCGGTTTCCTCCCACTGCGAAAGACCCCTACGCACAAGCGAATTATTGAAATAAAATTGAACCATATTGTTAGTCCCGAAATGACCTAGTTTGTGTTGAGTGGATGTTAAACCCCATTTCTCTCTCTATTAGATACCCCAACGACAATATTCTGTGTGTGTGTGTGGGGGGGTGTCTTAAAGATAAATACAACAGTTTAATAATTAGACCACGCCAGTGGTATACGAGATACCACGCTGCTAACACTTGTAACTTCTGGTTAGCGGGCAAGGGTATTACTCACGGAGCTGCCGTGGCTCATGGATTTATAGAAATAAAGTACAATGAACCAAGTAAACGTAAAATTAATTAAGTGAGTGTATTCTGCTTTGAACAGTTTATCTTTATTCAGTTATATTTGGTTATATATTCAGACAACATTGTCGTGTTATATAGGCCTACCAGTTTGTATATAATAAAAGGACAGGCCTTGGAATGAACATTTTTCTTTAGAGGGTCCATATTCCAATCAGATTAAAACATAGATCTTATTTCGTTTCCTTTTTTATAGTTCAAAATCGTTTTTACTACACTAGGATCTGGAAGAGTTGTTATATAATCCGTGTTCTGGATGATGTGAGGGATTAGTCAATGAAACGATCTGTTGCAGCGAGTTCTTGGCGTGCGATGCACGAAATTGTGGGTATCCTATTAGAAACATCAACGCTGATTGGTTAATCAAATGCCTGACGTCATAGGGTCAAAAGCCGCTCTTATGACGAAAACGAAACGAAATATAGATGTGTATTTGAATGAGATTGGTAAGACAACCAGATTAAAACATAGACCGTCAATATACAACCAACGATTCAGAGGGTTTATATACATTGCTGAACCCACGGCTCTGAGCACAATTGGGACTGGTTGAAAAAAACAGTCATCCAGCTGCTCTGACCGCCAAAAAGTATATATTTGCAAGTCGATTGCAACGTCGGCGCTCAGAACCCGAAAGTTTTGAACAATACGGTACTGCTTCATATTGGCTTTAAAGCTTTGGTCACAACTTCTCCTTTTAATTCCCAGTGCACGTCCCTAATAAAAAAAAAATCAAACTTTAGAACACATGAACTGAGAGAGAGAGAGAAAGAGATAAAGGGAGAGAGAGAGAGAGGGGTAACGTCCTGCTGTTCAGCACCCACTGGGTTAATCGGGACGGGCATACGCCATAGAGTGGGCTATAAAGGAAATTTTTCCCGGGCAACGGCACTACGGCCTAATTTTATTTCGAATTTTAATTGTCAAGGATTCTTTTACGTTCACCTCAATGGACACCTGTCCTGCACTACTGACAAGGGAATCCCAAGCTTGAAAATCAAGGGATCTTTTATGTGCACGCCAATGTGTACACGGGACCTCGGTTTTTCGTCCCATCCGAACGACTAGACAGCTGTCCTTGTCGGGCCCTCCGTCCTGCATCACTGAACTTTCTCGGATAATGCAGGGATCGAACACTCGACCTCCAGTCTAGCGAGCCAGCGTCTTACCCATTGGCTGATCAAGACATACATACGCCATACCATATGCTATGAGGAACACTTTACCTGGGCAGCGGTGCTTCGACCTTCTCTTAACAGCTATATCGAATTCCAACTGCCATGGGTTCTTTTACGTATACGCCAATGGGTACACGGGACCCCGATTCTTCGTCCCAACGACAACTTGGCACCAATTATAAATTATACATCTATCAGTTGTTTAAGGCAAAATTAAAATGATTTTTGGTTACTTTTAATACCTTGAATCAGATAACGGACGAGCTGGAAGCCTTTAAATTTAAAATAGTGTAAAATATAATTATATCTGGAGAGAGTTGTAGATGGATGGTGTTTGACATTATAACACCAATTATTGTTGATTAGTATAAAACAGACAACTGAAGAAAGAAATTAAATCAGTTTTTACAGAGAACTAACATCAAGGTAAATATTGTTTTATTTATATATTTGTGGGGACCACGTGGCTAAGTGGGTAAGGCGCTGGCTCGCTAGCCTGGAGGTCGGGTGTTCGATCCCTGCATTGGCCGAGAAAGTTCATCCAGATTTTCCAGCGTGGTTCCCTCTTATCAGTGATGCAGGACGGAGGGCCTGACAAGGACAGCTGTCTAGTCCTTCGGATGAGACGAAAAACCGAGGTCCCGTGTATACATTGGAATGCACGTAAAAGATCCCTTGACAGTTGGAATTCGATATAAGAGTAGGCGATAGTGCCGCTGCCCGGGCAAAATTTCCCTCATAGCACACTGTATGGCGTATGCCCGTCTTCATTAGCCCAGGTTAGGAGCAGAACAGTAGGACGTTAAACCCCATTTCATTTCATTTCATTTTATATATTTGTGCTTCTTTGTTTGTCTGTATTTTTGTGAATGTCGTGTGTTTCTCTGTCTGTCTGTGAATGTCGTGTGTTTCATTGTCTGAGAATCTTTGTCTGTTTTTGAATGTCCTGTGTCCCTTTGTCTGCCTGTTTGTGGTTGTCGTCTGTCTCTTTGTCTGTCTGTTTATGATGTCTTGGGCCTTTTGACTGTTTGGTTGCGGTTGGTGGCTACACAACAGCTGATCACGACGCTGAAATATGTAGTATAAGGACAACTCGAGACGGGAAGTGACATATGACTAGTGGCGTACAGAGCTACAATGTCCTCCACCCCCACCCTCCATGTTTCTGTTTCCGTCTTACGGTATTTTCCGCGTTGATGAGAACCACGCTGGCTCAATGTGTATGACACTGTGTCACTCACTAGAGTTGGTCTCGATATGTCCTCTTGTCAGTGGGGCAGGACTTAGGGCGTGACAAGGATAATGTCTAGTCGTTCGAATGGTCCCGTGTAAACACTCACGTTCACGTAAAACAACCCTTTACAGATGGAATTTAAATAAGAGTATGTCGTAGTGTCACTGCCCGGAAAAAGTTCCTTTTTAAGGCTCTGTATGATCTATGTCAGCTTCATTAGCAGAGTCGGTGCAGAAAAGTAGGACGCTAAATCCATTTCATTTCATTTTATTTACAGATGAGGCAACTAATTGTACTTGGAATATTGACCAGCTTTCTGTTTACCACGGTCCTGTCACGTGACAAGGGTTGTCCGACCTGTGGACGTCCGGTATGTAGGTGTCAGTGTCAATGTAAAAGTCCACACAGATGGACGGGGAAGCGAGACCTAGCTGTCAATGAAGTTGAAGATGTCTTCAAGAGAAATGATGAACCGTTGGAAGAACTAGAGAGGTTTGTGACAGGACAGGATTTTAGTCTAGAAGAGGAATAAAGTTTTTCTGGTAATATTTTATAATGGGTAAGTGTCTGGTGATTCAAATCTGATTAAAACACGGATCATATACTATTAAAAAAAAGTAGGGGATATTTGATTTTGGGGGCATAATACTAAAATATGCAAATGACTACGAAAAAAGTCACTATAGAACCTAACAGACGAAACATTTCCAGTTACATGTGACGCCCAAACGCACCAATAGCTACCGCATGGAATGCAGGTGATGCTTGGGATCATCACGGGGGTCCAACCCAAGATTTGCACGACTCTGACTTTGAATGTTACAGTCATTGTGGCATTGAATTCCAGGGTGGAAACATCAGTTTAATTGTTTTAGTGACCAGAAAACAAATTTTGATATGCGTCGGCTTACCCAAAATGAAAGGTTACGTGCCCTTGGCATGCTACAGATCGGCACAACACAGGCGGTTGTGGCGCGGACGATGAATGTTTCTCAGTCTGTCGTAAGCAGGCTATGGTCCAGATACCGTGATACACAATCTGTACAGGACAGACCACGCTCAGGTCGACCAAGGGCGACAACTCAAGCCCAGGATCGATTTATCCGTACCCTGGCCTTGCGAAATCGTGTCATCACAGCAAATCAGATCAGCGCTCGTCTTCAAACAGACACTGGTGTGAGAGTGAGTGGCCAGACGATTCGGAATCGACTGCATAGGGGTCACCTTCGCGCCCGACGTCCTCGCGTGATCCCTTGTTTGAGAGATCATCACATTCAGGCAAGACGTCGTTGGTGTAGGGATCGTCAACACTGGGATAATCGACGCTGGAGCAATGTGATGTTTTCAGATGAGTCAAGGTTCACTTGATTTTTTGGACAGACGTAGGAGGGTGTGGCGTCGTCGAAACGAGCGCTTCCAAGACGTTAACGTCATCAGACATGATCGATTTGGGGATGGTTCTGTTATGGTGTGGGGAAGCATCACTGTTGCTGGAAGAACGGCTTTACATGTTGTTGCAGGGCGTGTTACAGGCCAGTACTACCGGGACAACATCTTGGCAATCCATGTTGTGCCGTTCGCACGACGTCATGGCCGCCGTTTCATCTTCCAGGATGACAACGCAAGATGTCACAGGGCCAGGATCGTTACAGGTTACCTCCAACAACAGAACATCACCACATTACCTTGGCCAGCACTGAGTCCCGACCTCTCCCCATCGAGCATGTCTGGGACATGCTTGGACAGAGGTTACGTCAACGTCAACAACGTCCTGCCAATGTCCAAGAACTTGCTGCTGCGTTGCAACAGGAATGGGACAATCTGGACCAAAATGACCTTAGACGTCTCATTAGGAGTATGCCACGTCGGATCAATGCTTGTTTGGCAAACAGAGGAGGATTTACCCGTTACTGACTTGGTTGTGATGCTGTGGTAACTTTGCTGTTTGACCCCGGGTATCATTTTACCCTTATAATGGTCAGTCTGTGCCTTACTTAGTCTAACGATCATTTGGAACAAATCGATGAATGTGAACTTCATTTCATTTTGTCATTTGTTTCTTCGTCAGTTTCATTAGGTGACTTTAATAACACTTAAAAATCAAATATCCCCTACTTTTTTTGAATAGTATATTTCGTTTCGTTTTTTGTAGTTTAAAATATCGTTTTACTTGTCTTCACTACAGTAGTACAGGCCAATGAAAGTATAAAAAACGAAACGAAATATAGATCTGTATTTTAATCAGATTGTGTTGATAGTTATGTAATTGATAGCATTATTTTATCTGGATACCGGCAAGTATTAACCACCCATTTAAGCTTCGTTTGTAAGATTCGCTTCCAAATTTTCTCTACCCTAAATGGCCGCCATATCCAACAATTAGTATACCATTTTGTAAGGCGGTCCTACTCTGGTTCATATCTGTTATACACAAAGAGACTAATCAATTTTATTAAATGAAAGAATATAAAATTTCTAGAAATATACTTAACATATATTATGCAAGAGCTAAATCTGCCTATTGCAGGTCTTTATTTAGGCGTTAAAAATGTTATATAAATTATTAATTAGACATTAATTAACTTATCCGGACCATAATCAACTGTGCTATAGCAATGTGCTATGAGGGTAATTTTGCCTGGACAGCGGCGCAAAGGCCTACTCATATATCGAATTCTGACTGCCAAGGGATCATTAACGTGCACGCCAATGTGTACACTGGACCTCGAACGACCAGACATCTCTCCAGTCTCGTGGGTTTTCTCCGCCCCCCCCCCCACTCCTAAAGACCTCGATGCGCAAGCGAATTATTAAAATAAAATTGAACCATATTTTAGTTCCGAAATGACCTAGTTTGTGTCTTTCTTGAGTTGTGTATTTTATACTGGTCAGGAGTACCTGGGGATATTTTTCTACACCTCTATAGATATAATTATATTTTACACTGTTTTAAATCTAAGGGTATCAAAAGCAATCAAAAAATCATTTTAATATTGCCTTAAACAATATGGACAGGTGTGTTATTTACAGTTGGTGCCAAAGTTTGTCAGGTGTAAACTGGAATTATCAAACCTGTCTCTCTTTTAATTCTATTACCCTGGGGAGGAGGTGAGTGTATACACAAAATAATATAATAAACAGTTAATATGCTACCTGGGCAAAATTCACATGATTTTATGATTACTTTTAATACCTTGAATCAGATAACGGACCAGCTGGAAGCCTTTAAATATAAAATAGTGTAAAATATAATTATATCTGGAGAGAGTTGTAGATGAATGGTATTAAAGATTACATCACCAATTATTGTTGATTAGTATAAAACAGACAACTGAAGAAAGAAATTAAATCAATTTTTACAGAGAACTAACATCAAGGTAAATATTATTTTATTTATATATTTGTGATTGTCGTTTGTCTCCTTGTCTGTCTGTTTGTGGTTGGTGGTCATACTAAGGCTTTCAACGAGGCTGAAATTTTGGAGGACAGCTCGAGACGGGGAGAGACATAGGGGGTACTCGATTCAACGTTCCGGAACTAAATTCTCTCAAAAATAGTGTCAATCAAGTGAAAAGGAGAATTTTGGAGTAAAACGCATGTGCCGACTGCATAAAAAATATGTTAACCAATCATGACAGCTGAAACATATTCGTTGTGTTTAATTACGTCACGATTCTACTCACACCACCTCAGCTGTCGGATCTGGCAGAACTGTGACAGGACTGAATTCCATATCACTTGATTGTGATTCTGTCAATTCGGGACGTTCCGGACGGACAATCGAGCACACCCTAAGATCTCGTGACATAGCACTACAACTTCCCGTTTCACCCGATTCAACACCGGGTAAAGTTTATTATAAGGATGACGTTTATTTAAGGTAAAGATAAGGGATTAACCCTAGGGTACCAGAGACTGGGTATGACCACATGATGGGTTTATTTAAGGTAACGATAAGGGATTAACCCTTTGGGTACCAGAGTCTCGGTATGACCGCATGATGGGTGTATTTAAGGTAAAGATAAGGGATTAACAATAGGGTACCAGAGTCTCGGTAGTTTAAACATATTTTATTGACAAATATCAAAAGATTGAGCACAAGTTTCAAAAACTTAGAAAAGCCCTTTCCACATGATGGGTGTATTTAAGGTAATGATAAGGGATTAACCCTAGGGTATGACCGCATGATGGGTGTATTTAAGATAATGGTAAGGGATTAACCCTAGGGTACCAGAGTCTTGGTATGACCGCATAGTGGGTTTATTTAAGGTAAAGATAAGGGATTAACCCTAGTAAGTGGGTATTTTTCAAGAGAGAACATATTCTTTGGGACATTTAGTTGTACAATGGATTTTATTTAACCGGAATTGATTTCAAACACACAGGTAAGTTTATATTATCCAAAGTTAAATAGTTTGTTCATAATCGAAGAAATTTGTTTATAAAATAGGAAGGTTCAGGCAGTAGGAAACTCACAAACAGACCTACTGTTTTGCTCCGACTGGGCTAATAAAGACGGGCATACGCCATGCAGTGTGCTATGTGGGAAATTTCGACCGAACAGCAGCAAAATGGCCTACTTTTATATCTAATTCCAACTGCCAGGGGATCTTTTACGTTCATGCCAATGTATACATGGGACCTCGGTTTTTCATCCCACCCGAACGACTAGACAGCTGTGCTTGTTCGGCCCTCCGTCCTGCATCACTGACAAGGGGAAACCACGCCGGAAAATTCCGATGAACTTTTTCGGCCAATGCAGAAATCGAACACATGAGCTCCAGGCTAGCGAGCCAGCGTCTTACCCACTTAGCCACCGTGGCTTCCAGAACGCTAAACCCCATTTCATTTTATTGACAGATGAGGCGAGTAATTGTATTTGGAATCTTGATACTATTCCTGTCTACCACGATCGATTCATTTGTATTTCGACGTCGATGTCCGGCCTGTCATTGTGATTGTGGACGAGGAAGATGGTCGTTAGGGAAGCGAGACCTAGGCGTTAGTGATGTCGTCAGTGATGTCGAGGATGTTTTCAAGAGAAATGATGAACCGTTGGAAGAACTAGAGAGGTTTGTGACTGGAGAGGATTTTAGTCTAGAAGAGGAATAAAGTTTTTCTGGTAATATTTTCTAATGGGTAAGTGATTGGGGGTTTTTATAGTAATTTTTATCTAGATACCAGAAAATGTTCACCAACTATGCAAGCTCCCAATTTTTTTTATTATATTTGCCTCCTAAATTTCATGCTGGAGCTGTACTCAAACTTAAAGTCCTCATCCAACTAGGGTGATAATACAATAAGTGAAAAAAAAACAGTATAAGAGGCTAGTCTATCATAGGGTGGACGTGGAAGAGTGAGTTGAAAATTTTATCGCCTCCATTTTCTTATAAAAAGACGTGATCATGTCATTTGACATACAGTGTTCATTGGTACTGTTGTTGAGAACTATTCATATTTCAGTCCAAAGGTAGCTCCATGGGTGAAATATTCAGTCAGTTATGGTAGAATTCACGGTGGCACAGTGATTATAGCGTTGGTTTTTCAGCCTGATTTCGCCTTAGGCAGGGCATGTTTAACCATTACGCAAAATAAGTGCGGGCTTATGGCACCCTGGAAAAAGGGAAGGGGCGGCAGCACAGAATTTCTGCATCAATAGATGACAAATTAAAAATATTAATTTAAAAATTAAGAATTTTTATTTCTTACTGTCACCTTGTTTCAATTCATAATGCCGTGTATAAAACCTCAGAAAAATCCTAACCACGTGGCTGGACATTTTTTTATGGTTTACTAACAGGTTACCCGGATTCGCCCGGGGCCCAGATTCGACCGGGCCCAGATTCCCCCCCTGCCCAGATTCTCCAGGGATTTTATTTATATAGATAGTAGTATGCTCCTACTGTTCTGCTCCGAACTGGGCTAATGAAGACGGGCATACGCCATACAATGTGCTATGAGGGAAATTTGGTCCGGACAGTGGCACTACTGCCTACTCTTATATCGTCCCATCCGAACGACTAGACAGCTGTTGTCCTTGTAATTCCCTCCGCCCTGACAAGGGGGAAACCACGCCGGAAAATCTGGATGAACTTTCTCGGTCAATGCAGGGATCGAACACCCGACCTCCAGGCTACCGAGCCAGCGTCGTACCCACTTAGCCACCGTGAACCCCGGCACATCTGACAGGATGAATTATCCGGAGTCGACCGTGGTAATAATCCACAACAATAATCCTAAACTTGGATTTACAACAGAGAGATAATTTTTCTTAAAATAGCACAATGTAAAACAGAGAGACAATTTCTCTAAAAACAGTACAATAAGTGCAACAGCACGAAATGGCTATAAATCGAGAACACGGACCACGTAGGTCTAATAGAAATTTACAACAAACGTTTACTTCTGTACCAAATGCTAAGAAAATTCTGCCCTCGGACTGGTTTGATTCGGCTTATATAGTTTTAGGACATTTTCCCATTTAGTTCTGTACCAAATGCTAAGAAAATTCTGCCCTCGGACTGGTCTGATTCGGCTTATATAGTTGTAGGACATTTTCCCAACACTTCCAACTTTTTCTGGAACCATCCAGTTATTTCTAAACGCTGTTCCCAGAAGATTCTATTGTTTCTAGAAGTTTCCAAATGACGATTCTAGAAAGTTAAATTTTATTTCATTTCTCCTTTATAAAAAAGACATAACATTATCATTCTTTTATTTTGTTACAGCCTAAATGACGATCCAAACAAATGTCAAGTCAGAAATTTAAAATAAAATGCCATAAAGTTATTTTGTTTTGTTTTGTTTTCTTGTCATTTTTGATGAAAGGGCTAGGACAAACAAATTTTTTGAGGAACTGAAACTTTCTATGATTTACTGCCGCCCGCCCCTACCCCGCACTCTTCCCCCACCCCCGTCCCGGCACTTTGGTAGTAGGCCTGCTTTTATTATCACCCACCAAACGAGGTTAAAGGAGATATTGAAACTTTGTACACTTATGAACATATTATATTAGTTGTCACTCAACGTCTGCTAATTGATCATAATTTTTGTGGCTTTGTTTTTGGTATACAAGGATACGAAGAGACCGGGGTTTCACCTTAAAGTAGCTAAGTCTCTAACTCAATATCATCCAAAGTTTTCGACAGTGAAAACATGAATTATTTGTCAATTTTAAATCAACATTGATGTTGTGATATTACCGGGAAAAGATGGGCTTCTGATATCCAAAATTTAAGACAAAATAAACATTTTACCATTAGTACACGAATCGTGTGTCATGATGCGTTTCAGCTCCATTTGAAACAAGGGACTCGAAGAACGAGGCAAGACATTCCAAAAGTCATGTCAAACGGCGACGCATATTCTTAACTGGAGAGCATGCCCAATAAATAATATCGATGTAGACTTCAATAAACAGACGCTAAAGATTGTTATTCGATTGAGACTTGTGGCGTATTTCGCCAAACATAACTGATTTGAAATTGCAGTAAAAACAGAAACGATTGAATGTAAATCAGTTTACATACATTCATGTTACATTATTACCGGGTATATGCGTTGCGACCCATTTGTGTCAATTTGTAGGTCCCAAATATTAGCGATTTAACTCCTTTAACACTGAGTCACACAGTGTGTACGTGGGAAGGTCCCTTTAAATAAATCTCATTTTTATAATAAATGAATATTTACCTTTGTGTCTCTCCTCTTTCTTCAGTTGGATATTTTATACTGGTCACTAATACCTGGGGATATGTTTCTACACCTCTATAGATATAATTATATTTTACACTGTTTTATATTTAAAGGTATCAAAAGTAATCAAAAAATCATTTTAATATTGCCTTAAGCAATTTGGGCGGGTGTGAAATTTACAATTGGTGTAGACTTGAATTACTTAAATCTATCTCCCCTTTAATTCTATCACCCTGGGGGAGGGGGTGAGTGTAAAAACAAAATATTATAATGAACAGTTAAAAGGTACCTGGGCAAAATTCACATGATTTTATGATTACTTTTAATACCTTGATTTAGATTACGGACGAGCTGGAAGTCTTTAAATTTAAAATAGTGTAAAATATAATTATATCTGGAGAGAGTTGTAGATGGATGGTGTTTGACATTATAACACCAATTATTGTTGATTAGTATAAAACAGACAACTAAAGAAAGAAATTGAATCAGTTTTTACAGAGAACTAACATCAAGGTAAATATCATTTTATTTTTATATTTGTGATTGTCGTTTGTCTCTGTATTTGTGCTTCTTTGTCTGTTTGTCTGTCTGTGAATGTCGTGTTTTTTTTTGCGGTTTAAGATGTCGTTTTTTTTCTTTATCTGACTGCGAACGTCGCGTTTCTTTGTCAGTCTGTTTGTGAATGTCGTGTTTTTTTCTGGCCACGACGTTAAAATTTGTGGTATAAGGCCCGCTCGAGACGGGGAGGGAGATATGGCTTCTGGCGTAGGGCTACACCCCCCCCCCCCGCCGCCATCCTCCATGTAACCTCTCTATTACCAGACAAGAATTGTTCCTGTTTCCGTTTTCACTGTCTTTAGGGATTTCCTGCGTTGTCGAACGCAGGACTGGGGGCGTGGCAAGGACCGTGTCTAGTTGTTGGGATGGTCACGTGTAAACACTCACGTTCACGTAAAACAACCCTTTACAGATGGAATATGAAATAAGAGTAGGTCGTAGTGCCACTGCCCGGGAAAAGGTTATTTTTTATAGGAAACTGTATGCCGTCTTTATTAACCCAGTTGGTGCAGAAAAGTAGGACGCTAAACCCCATTTCATTCCATTTTTATTTACAGATGAGGCAACTAATTGTACTTGGAATATTGATCAACTTCCTGTTTACCACGGTCCTGTCACTTGACAAGAGTTGTCCGACCTGTGGACGTCCGGTATGTAGATGCCAGTGTCAATGTAAAAATCAACACAGATGGAATGGGAAGCGAGACCTAGTCGTCAGTGATGTCGAAGATTTCTTCAAGAGAAATGATGAACCGTTGGAAGAACTAGAGAGGTTTGTGACAGGACAGGATTTTAGTCTAGAAGAGGAATAAAGTTTTTCTGGTAATATTTTTGATTGTAGTTTGCACCCAATACCTTGATCAGACAAATATACAACATATATAACTTTCCCGAACCTTCCAACTTTTTCTAGAACCCTCCAATTATTTCTAAACACTCTTTCCAGAAATTTCTATTGTTTCTAGAAGTTTCCAAATGACGATTCTAGAAAATGCCATCGCCTACCTCACATACCTTTGGCCCAAATTCGACTACAGCATCGTGTACGTATACCCATCTTCATTAACCCAGTTAAATCTCTTTCCATGTCTCCTTTAAGGTAATAAGACATAATAGTATCATTCTTTTATTGTGTTACAGCCTAAATGACGATCCAACCAAGTGTCAAGTCACAAGTTGAAAAATAAAATGCAATAAAGTCATTTTGCGTTGTTGTTTTTTTTTGTTCAGACACTATACGATACAATTTCGCCAACAAACATTAATTTTTTGAGGAACTGAAACTTTCTATGATTTACTATCCCCCGCCCCCTTCCGGCATTTTGATAGTAGGCCTACTTTTATTATCCCCCACCGAACGAGGTTAAAGGAGAGATATTGAAATGGACTCTGTCTATCCGTCCGTAGTTCCTGTTTTTTTTCCCAGAAATACGTTTAAATTTTTAACTATACTTTGTATTTGTTTTATTAGGGAAAACTACACAGTGTAAAAAAAAGGGCCACACGCGACCTCATCTTTAAAGCTAGTATGGAGAGGTTTTGTTCTTCTATTCCAAATTCTGAACAACAGTTTGAATCAAAGTCTTATTTGGTGCGGAGAGTTCAGCAATGTATATAAGCCGTCGAATTCTAAGGCCTATTCTTTTATTATATACAAACTGATATATAACACAACAATGTCGTCTGAATATTAGTTATTAGACGGTTGTCTTTTAAAATAAAAAACCTTTTTAATGGGTTCAATGGGGACAACAGTTCAGTGGAAATTGAAAAGATTTACCCCCCCCCAATCCAACAAAGTTCCTTTCAACCGGATTCCGATTAAGAGATGGTCGCGGTGACTCAGAGGGTAGGGTGTTGCATTAGGAGATCTCCGGTTCGCTTCCGGTGTTACAGGAGAAAGTTGCTCAGTATTTTCCGTCGCGGTTTCTCAGCGGTGCAGAACGGGGCGGAGAGGGAGATGGGGGTCTGGGAAGGACAACGTCTAGTCGTTCGGATGAGACGAAAATCCGAGATCCCTATTTACACAATGCCGTCCAAGTACAAGATCTATTGACGGTTGGAATGCGAAATAAGAATTGGCACTGCCGCTGTCGGGGCAAAATGTCACTCAAAATCCGTCTTCATTAGCCCATTAAGAAATACATACAAATATCTATACAGAATACATATTAACATAACAGAAGAAACGTAAACGGTTACCACCCCCACCCCCTCCCCCGTAATCACATTCATCATTACATCCTTCGTATACAAAAAGTTGCATCTGTCCTTACCAAAGTTCTGGTAATACAATCCAGTAAGCTCATTTAACATAATATACTATTCAAAAAAAGTAGGGGATATTTGATTTTCAAGTGTTATTAAAGTCACCTAATGAAACTGACGAAGAAACAAATGACAAAATGAAATGAAGTTCACATTCATCGATTTATTCCAAATGATCGTTAGACTAAGTAAGGCACAGACTGACCATTATAAGGGTAAAATGATACCCGGGGTCAAACAGCAAAGTAACCACAGCATCACAACCAAGTCAGTAACGGGTAAATCCTCCTCTGTTTGCCAAACAAGCATTGATCCGACGTGGCATACTCCTAATGAGACGTCTAAGGTCATTTTGGTCCAGATTGTCCCATTCCTGTTGCAACGCAGACTGAGAAACATTCATCGTCCGCGCCACAACCGCCTGTGTTGTGTCGATCTGTAGCATGCCAAGGGCACGTAACCTTTCATTTTGGGTAAGCCGACGCATATCAAAATTTGTTTTCTGGTCACTAAAACAATTAAACTGATGTTTCCACCCTGGAATTCAATGCCACAATGACTGTAACATTCAAAGTCAGAGTCGTGCAAATCTTGGGTTGGACCCCCATGATGATCCCAAGCATCACATGCATTCCATGCGGTAGCTATTGGTGCGTTTGGGCGTCACATGTAACTGGAAATGTTTCTTCTGTTAGGTTGTATTGTGACTTTTTTCGTAGTCATTTGCATATTTTAGTATTATGCCCCCAAAATCAAATATCCCCTACTTTTTTGAATAGTATATAAGACAATTACTTCGTCGTCACCCCCCCCCCCCCGCGCACACCGCACCCGCAATCACATTCACGATTGTACATATAGGCAAGATGAACTATGAATTTCAGAAGGACAGAAACAACTTTTTGTATTTCTGGGGAAAAAACAGGAACTACGGACGGATAGACAGAGTCCATTTCAATATCTCTTCTTTAACCTCGTTCGGTGGGGGATAATAAAAGTAGGCCTACTATCAAAATGCCGGAAGGGGGCGGGGGACAGTAAATCATAGAAAGTTTCAGTTCCTCAAAAAATTAATGTTTGTTGGCGAAATTGTATCGTATAGTGTCTAAATAAAAAAAAACAACAACGCAAAATGACTTTATTGCATTTTATTTTTCAACTTGTGACTTGACACTTGGTTGGATCGTCATTTAGGCTGTAACACAATAAAAGAATGATACTATTATGTCTTATTACCTTAAAGGAGACATGGAAAGAGATTTAACTGGGTTAATGAAGATGGGTATACGTACACGATGCTGTAGTCGAATTTGGGCCAAAGGTATGTGAGGTAGGCGATGGCATTTTCTAGAATCGTCATTTGGAAACTTCTAGAAACAATAGAAATTTCTGGAAAGAGTGTTTAGAAATAATTGGAGGGTTCTAGAAAAAGTTGGAAGGTTCGGGAAAGTTATATATGTTGTATATTTGTCTGATCAAGGTATTGGGTGCAAACTACAATCAAAAATATTACCAGAAAAACTTTATTCCTCTTCTAGACTAAAATCTTGTCCAGTCACAGACCTCTCTAGTTCTTCCAACGGTTCATCATTTCTCTTGAAGACATCTTCGACATCACTGACAGCTAGGTCTCGCTTCCCATTCCATCTGTGTTGATTTTTACACTGACATCTACATACCGGACGTCCACAGGTCGGACAACTCTTGTCAAGTGACAGGACCGTGGTAAACAGGAAGTTGATCAATATTCCAAGTACAATTAGTTGCCTCATCTGTAAATAAAAATGAAATGAAATGGGGTTTAGCGTCCTACTTTTCTGCACCAACTGGGTTAATAAAGACGGCATACAGTTTCCTATAAAAAATAACCTTTTCCCGGGCAGTGGCACTACGACCTACTCTTATTTCAAATTCCATCTGTAAAGGGTTGTTTTACGTGAACGTGAGTGTTTACACGTGACCATCCCAACAACTAGACAGGGTTCTTGCCACGCCCCCAGTCCTGCGCCACTGACAAGAGGAAATACCGAGGTCAAATCTAATAAGTGAGACAGTGTCTGACTCATTGAGCCACCGCCACGCTCGACAACGCAGGAAATCCCTAAAGACAGTGAAACAGGAACAATTCTTGTCTGGTAATAGAGAGGTTGCATGGAGGGGGGGGGGGGTTGTAGCACTACGCCTGGAGCCTTATCTCCCTCCCCGTCTCGAGCGGGCCTTATACCAAAAATTTTAACGTCGTGGCCAGAAAAACACACGAAATTTAGAAACAAACTAAGAAGAACACGACATTCACAAACAGACTGACAAAGAAACACGATGTTCACAGACAGATAAAGAAAAAAACGACATTCATAAACAGCCTAAAAAAACACGATATTCACAGACAGACAAACAAAGAAGCACAAATAAAGAGACAAACGACAATCACAAATATAAAAATAAAATGATATTTACCTTGATGTTAGTTCTCTGTAAAAACTGATTTAATTTCTTTCTTCAGTTGTCTGTTTTATACTAATCAACAATAATTGGTGTTATAATGTCAAACACCATCCATCTACAACTCTCTCCAGATATAATTATATTTTACACTATTTTAAATTTAAAGGCTTCCAGCTCGTCCGTTACCTGATTCAGGGTATTAAAAGTAATCAAAATTCATAATTGGTGCCAAAGTTTGTCAGGTGTCGATTTGAAGTAACAAATCTGCCTTCAAGTAATTCCTTCACTCTGGGGAGGAGACGAGTGTAGACACAAAATTATAATATAAAGCGTTAAAATGCTGCCCGGGCAAATTTCACAGAAACCAGTTAATAGAATTTGTGATTACTTTTGATACCTTTAAATTTAAAACAGTGTAAATATACGGAGATAGTTTTAGATGAATTATTGATATAAAATTGAACCATATGTTAGCCCAGAAAAAAAAACATAGTTTATGTCGAATGGACGTTAAACCACATCATCTCTCTCTCTCCCTCTCCCTCTCTCTCTCTCCTAGTCAGACAATAAACGACCTATGGGTCAAGAAAAACAAGCACCAAATGGGACGGGTATTCCCTAAAAAGGATACCTGTCAGGTTTCGTTCAATTATGTTCGCTAATGAGTGAGAAATAGCACTTTAAGAAGAAACTGACATAATAACGAAAACGAGAGGATAATTAAGATTAAGACACCGGCCATGGCACCGGTGTAAAATAATTACCCTGGCCAAGGATGTCAATAGAGTTCGTGCTAACGGTATTGGCCTTGAGTATGCTAACAGCTAAAAACTGTCACCTGTGGTGCAATTTCCGGGTTTGTTTTGGGGTTTTTTCTTTATTTTTTTTCTTTTGATTTCCTAAATTCATTTAGCTAAATGAATAAAACTAAAACGGATTAAATGATTCAGAATGTTATGGAAGTATCAATTCGGCCGTGAAATCTAATCTGGAAGCCATCCGTATAAATCAGAGTACAAGCTAAATATTTATTAAGGGATTATCGCACAATTAGGGGCCATAATCCAGGATGTTACGGTTCGACAATGAGAGAGAGAGAGAAATGGGGTTTAACGTCCACTCGACACAAACTAGGTCATTTCGGGACTAACATATGGTTCAATTTTATTTCCATAATTCGCTTGCGCGTAGGGGTCTTTAGCAGTGGGAGGAAACCGGAGGACCCGGAGAAAACTCACGAGGTTGGACAGGCGACCCTACTCCTTGTCACGTACAACCGGGGAATCGAAACCATTAAGATACAGCGCGCACGTGCTAACCATTCAGCCATCCACCCCCCGGTTCGACAATGAGTCAATGTAAAAAAAAACAAAAAGAAAAGGAACCCTGATCCTTGGGATACGAAACTATACTTCAAGTTTCTTCAAAATTGGAAACAAATTGTGACATGTAGAGTGTGTACAAACAAAATGTGAACAGCTGGAAGGACATCCGGACGGTCAGTGGCGACGACAATATACATCCACATAAAACTGTGGGTGTCTAGAAAGGGCATATTGTGGTCATTGTCCGTCAGACACAAATACAATTTGTATGTCAGTATAGTTGATAGATAGATTTACTTGGCAAATTAGAACTATAATTTGAGAGAGGGGCCTTTAACACTGGGACCCTGGCTGCAGCATGGTCAGCACCCCGCTTAATCTGAGAGCCCAGAAGGGTCAGGGGCCCATCCCCTCCGATTGGAAAAAACATAATTTGACATATATATTTTATTCATAATAACTAAAATTCATCTTCGCTTCCACTGAAATTTATAATGGCCTCAATTCGAGGAGAAAAATGATCTATGACTTTGGTGCAGGAATAGTAAATCAAATTAGTTTTGTTTTCTCGTCATGACGTCATTCTTCACCGTGAACGGGTCCGGGTACCTCAGTGGCATCAAACCGAGGAGAAGAATGATCTATGCGTGAGGTGCTAGTCGTTATTTCAAGAATATCGGGACCCAACAAAACCAGTTTTTCCGAGGGCCCAGAGCTACCCAGTTCACCGTTGACAATTCTAATATGGGGCTAAATGCGAAACTGTGACTATAAATGGTTGGCAACTGCACAGTTTTTAAACTCGAATCCGAAATCAGAGAAAATTGGATGCCAGCCACAATCAGTCGATCACCAGCAGCCTTAACTGGCTTCTGTCATACTGAGGTTGAGAGCCAACAAACAAGGAGGGTTGATCGATGGTGTATGTACGATTGGTTTTTAGTATCTTGGACTTGACTGGAACATCGGAAGGGCAGTAGGAAAAGAGAGCACAATATTTTCATTAGGGCAATGGAAATATGATGACAATGGCGCGGGGTTTCCTAGTGTATTTCAGGTAATTCTTTCGAAATTCGAAGGCACTTTACGAGAGGGCACATAGCCACAATTACCGCCAGGCCCTGGTAATACATCTCATCGAATTCCAGCGTTATCAATCATTTTCAGTTTTTGTTTTGTATTTGCATCAATTAGGGGCGGTTGTCTACCTTGCCTACCCACTCAGCACGCCCCCCCTCTCTCTCTCTCTCTCGCTCTCTCTCTCTCTCAGTTGATCGATCGATCGACAAAGGGCTAATTACTTCTAAGTTTTACATTCTGTGAATATTGCCCAGGTAGCATATTAACTGTTTATTATATTTTTTTGTTTTTACACTCGCCCCCTCCCCAGGGTCATAGAATTAAAAGGGAGGCAAATTTGATAATTCCAGTCTACAACTGACAAAGTTTGGCACCAATTATAAATTATACACACGCCCATTGGTTTGAGGCAAAATTCAGAGGATTTTTTGATACGGTTAGATTTTAAACAGTGTAAAATATAATTAAGGCAATATTAAAATGATTTTTTGATTACTTTTGATACGGTTAGATTTAAAACAGTGTAAAATATAATTATATCTAGAGAGGCGTAGAAAAATATCCCCAGGTACTAGTGACCAGTATAAAATACACAACTGAAGAAAGAAATAACAGACAAGAAGTCAACTGTTACAGAGAATAATCACAAAGGTAAATATTCATTTATTATAAAAATGGGGATTATTTAAAGAGGCCTTCCTACTTATAAACTGTGTGATTTGAACTATTTGGGCTTAATCGTGTTCAAATTAATTTACCTATCAAACGTTAACTTTGCTTCGATCCCCCTCAAAATAGTTATCCCTTTTCACGTGTCTTAATTGATGGAGAATGTATTTTTAATTTGTATTTGTCATTACTCGCTGTCCGTATACCATAAATATAGATGACTTAGTAAATTATTATCTCCTGACAACGTGTGTTTTCGAGCAGTAAATGGTCACGTGGTCGCTATTATCTCTGAGAGTGATGACGTCGGGGCGAGTTAATTACCTCTCAATATTAACTTGATTCTGCTGAAAATTAATTTCTAAGAAACAACATAAAGGTCTTCGGGTATATTTGGATAAAAAAAAAATAGTTCCATTTTAGTGTAAACGATACATAAGATAGTACGCGATGGCGTAAATGAGTAAAAGGCACCAATTTGTGTTACTACGTCCGATGTAATCAATTAACATATACGTGTTATCGACGTCGTATGATGTTAAACGAAAACTTTCGGAATACCGGTGAAAAACACATTGCGTTTAGTGGCAGAGTCTATGGTATTTTTAACCCTTTCGATTTCTCACGACCGCTAACCATTAGATCAACACATAGGAAGCGATCCTTACGTCACTTGAGCTCGAGTATAGGCAAGCTGTCAGTTAGTGAGACCGTTACACAATTTCCTGTTGGCGTACCATGAGTGTTTTTCGGGGAATCCAGTATTTTTCTAGTAAGGCTGTCTATACTTTCATATATTTATACCATATATGCCATACTTTTATTGGAAATAACTACCCAATAATTATTTCGCAGGAATGCAACTTTATGGTAAATATATTTTCATTACAAGAATTGGGCATTTTTAAATCATAGAATGATAGCACTCGACAAAAACTAGCTTATTTCGGGACTAATATACCAATAATGTTAACAATGAGGTGAAACCAGAGGCACCAGATATAACCCAGGGGGTTGGGCAGGCGACCCTTCTTCTTGTCATGATAGGCCTTATGATCTAAAGCACACCCCTTATGTTAGGTGACCCGACCCCCCCCCCCCACATTGGCCCAGGATAGCTTCTTCAAGAGGCATTGAAATGCCTAAACAAGGATGTAAAATATTGAAGAGCGGCATCTTATAGGAAAATTAAATTTGTTGGATGAAATAATATGAATGTAAAGCGGCAGGAAGTGGTTATATTATCATCCTTATAAAAGCACGTTTTACTTTGTGAAGCTTCGTTTTTTTTCAGAAATAAAAGTAGGAATAATCGGCATATTTTGCCTGTTGGCCATTCTGGCTGTCGGATTTGTAGAAGGGCAAACATGCGCCACGTATTCCAACGGATGCAGTGACCCTTTCAACATGGCTTACAAACAACGTTTTAAACCTGCATGTGATAAACATGATGTCTGCTATGCATGTGTAAGTAAACGCATATATATATATAACTGAAATTAGGAAGTGAAAAGTGAAGTTTTGACCAGGAAATGGACCCCTTTCGCAAGCGCTGTGCATCTTGTTCTTCTTGGGGGTAACGCCCTTCGAATAAAAACCTAAGTTTCCAACAATCCAAGTACGATCGACCTGAAACTTGACCTCTTGAACATGACGTCATATGGCGGCGATGACACTATGCCCGGTTCCTGGATAGTGGCGTAAATATTAACATCCGAAATTCGGCCTGGGTTATAATCAGAAACACAAGGAGCTGGGGGCGGGAGGTCAGCGTCGGGCCCTTCTATTAGACATGCACTATGTAAGAGCTACATCTGCCTTTAGCAGGTCTTTCTTTAGGCGTTAAATGTTATCTAAATTATTAATTAGACATTAATTAAAGGAGCTAAATCGCTAATATTTGGGACCTAGAAACGCATATAATAATGTAATCTGATTGGATATAAACTGATTTACATTCAATTGTTCCCGTTTTGACTCTAACTCCAAATCAGTTATGTCCAGCGAAATACGGCATGAGTCTCGACTGAATGTCAATTTCTAGCGTCTGGTTATTCCAGTCTATTGCGCATGCTATCATGGCGTCACCCTTTGACATGAGTTGTGGAATAAGTCTAGCCTCGTTCTTTCTGATCACTTGTTACAAATGTACTTTCTGATCACTTGTTACAAATATACCAATGGTTAAATGTTTATTTTGTCTTAAATGTTGGATATCAGAAGCCTACCATTTCCCGGTAAGATCACAACATCAATGTTGATTTGAATTGACAAATAATTCGTGTTTTCAACGTGTAAGACTTTGGATGATATTGAGTTAGAGACTTAGCTACTTTAACTTTCTACGACAATAATCAACTCTAGATTTTCAATAGATTTAAATGGTTTTTGCGGTTACCATAAACATAGATAATCGAGACTTTGTTTATTATCGTAACAACGGTAGCAATGACAATCAAGGCTGTTCTTCTAACGACAATAACAAGGCTTGGAGTAATGTAATTTGACTGAAATTGTCAACACATTACCTTTTCATTATCTATTTTCTAACCTCGAGAACTACCAGCTCTTTATCTAAATCTTATTTAATGTGTCTTTAATTGTTTTTTTGTTTTTTGTATTATTAATTCTATCCTTGCCTCCTAAACAAATACTATTCTTGCATGCTTACACCAATTCAATAATTGAAGCTAGTTTATCATGTATGTTTAAATCTTTAATTATACTTTGTATTTGTTTTATTAGGGAAAAGTACTCAATGTAAAAAAGAGCAGATGCGACCTCATCTTTAAAGCTAATATGGAGAGGTATTGTTCTACTATTACAAATAATTCTGAACAAGATAAATGCAATGGCAACGCAACTGCATACTATGTGGGTGTCTCCTTGTTTGAATGGAAGTCCTATTTAAAGAATTCTAAGAGTTGGTGCGAACAGTCGTGGGTTTCGCAATGTATATAGACCGGCCTAACAAACATGATGATTCTACGGCCTGTTTTTTTATTATATACAAACTGGTATATAACACGACAATGTCGTCTGAATATATAACCAAATGTAACTAAATAAAGATAAACTGTTCAAGTAGAACAGTACGTTTACTTGGTTCTTTGTACTTGATTTCTATAAATCCAGGAAAAACCATGGCAACTCTATCTGTTGGCGGTCGGAATGCGAAATAAGAATTTGCAGTGCCGCTGTTTGGGCAAAATGTCACTCAAAATCCGTCATCATTAACCCATTAAGAAATACATACAAATATCTACACAGAATACATATTAACATAACAGAAGAAATGTAAAGGGTTACCCCCCCCCCCCCCCCGTAATCACATTCATCATTACATCCTTCATATAAAAAAAGTTGTTTCTGTCCTTTCCAAAGTTCTGATAATATAATCCAGTAAGCTCATTTAACATAACACAAGAAACTTATTTACCTCGTCACTCCCCCCACCCCCCGCCCGCACCCATCCATGCATACGCCGCCACACCCCACCCGTAATCACATTTACGATTGTACCCTTTGTATACACAAAATTCTTTCTGTCTTTCCAAAGATCAAGTAAGCTCTTTTTCTTTGGTGTATCTATTTTGCCTATGTTCTGAAGGATGTGTTCTAAAAATAAGTTTAGCTCTATAGTATATTATTAGCATTAAACACACTGGAGTTTCCTTCTGTTCTATATTATTAGCATTTAAATCAACGGGGAAAATAATTACCAGTTTGATTCCAGTATATTCCAGGAATTATCTCCCCTTGAATTATCTCCCTTGTTATGTTTTCCCTTGGGGTATAATATTTTCTTAAACATTCCGAAGTTCTTCATCTTTATAACCAGAAGAAGCTCATCATTTCCCAATCACCTGATAAAAATATTTTTCCGGAGCATATCTGATAAACCGTTCACGAAATCGCAGTTGTGGCTTTTGCATAATTGAATTTATTTGTATGCAGGGGCGCTGGATGTTCAGGGCTAAGTCTGGTTAATTGTATGCAGGGTCGCTAGATGTTCAGGGTTAAGTCTAGTTATTTGTCACTTACAATGTCCATGTGGCATGTCCGTCATTTTGTGTTTTTTGTTGCTGTTTGCTTGATACGTAGGAAGGGAATGGGACCGAAATGACAGATCTTATGATAGCACGAACAGTTAGAATCGGGATGAAAGAACGAAGGTCATTACAATTTCTCTCCTTAAACTGGGTACCGACAGTAAACCATACAAAGTTATGTTTGAGTCACAACTACTATACTATGTTGATAATTGTACAAAGTTTCATATGCTATGGACAAAAAGTGATAGGGAAGGATGGACGGACGGATGGGCGAACGGACGGACGGACGGAGTCCATTTCAATATCTCTCCTTGAATCTAGTTGAACGGGGGATAATAAAAGTAGGCCCACTATTAAATAAGGGGTGGGGGCTGCAATAAATCGTATAAAGTGCCAGTTCCTCAAAAAATACATTTTTCTTGACGAAATTATATCGAATGGTGTCTGAACAAAAATAACAACAACACAAAATGACTTTATGAAATTTTATTTTTCAACTTCTGGTTTGACACTTGGTTGGATCGTCATGTCAACTGTAACGACATAAAAGGAGGAATAAAACAATGGTTACCTTCAAGGAGAAATGAAATATGATAACATCTTACGTTTTGTACCAACTGGGTTAAGGAATTTTGCCCAGACAGCGGCACTACGCTCGAATGATTTTTCGATTTTCCAAACTGTCAGTGGATTTTTAACGTGCTACCATCGGGCTGGTTTTTCGCCCCACCGAAGGACTAGAAGTTTTTCCGTGCCAAACCCCACACCACAATCGGATTAGAATACAGATCTATATTTCGTTTTTCTATACTTTCGATGACCTACACTACACTAAAGATCTTACCAGTTGTAGTGGAAGGTCGCGTCAAGAGTCTCTCTCGTGCTAGGTTAAAGCCAGCACCTGGGCAGGTGATGACAATTTGGAAGCGAATCCAATAAAAGATTGGGAGCTTGCATGGTTGATGGACATTTTCTGGTATTTAGATAAAAATTACTATAAAAATCACCAATCTCTTACCCATTAGAAAATATTACCAGAAAAACATCATTCCTCTTCTAGACTAAAATCCTGTCCAGTAACAAACCTCTCTAGTTCTTCCAACGGTTCATCATTTCTCTTGAAGACATCCTCGACATCATTGACTACTTCTCGCCCTCCCCTCCATCTGTGTTGATTTTTACACTGGCATCTACATACTGGACGTCCACAGGTCGGACAACTCTTGTCAAGTGACAGGACCGTGGTAAACAGGAAGTTGATCAATATTCCAAATACAATTAGTTGCCTCATCTGTCAATAAAATATGAAATAGAATGGGGTTTAACGTCCAAATTGTCTACACTGACTGGGCTAATGACGACTGACATACACCATACCATCCAGTGGTATATAAGGAGAATACTGCCCGGGCAGCGGCACTATGACCTTCTCATTCTTAAAATCCAACTGTCATGGGCTCTTTTATCTCCTCTGTAAATATAATCCTCAGTTTAAAAGAAAAATGATTTAAGTTTAAAGATTCATTATGTAAGATTTAAATACAGGGCTGATTGTTCTTGCTATAATAGTTCATAAATAGATAATGTAAAATGAATATGCTAACAATTTTCATTCCGAATACATTTTACTGTGCAAACTAAAAAGTGTTTGAAGTTTCGTCAAAATGTAGCCTAGATTGTTTATTATCGCAGAGTCTCGATTATCTATTTCATCGTTAAACTTTTTTAAATGGCGGCGATGTTCTAATCTTCTTGATATCGTGGCCATCCAGTGTTCTAGAGAGTTGATTATGATCTTGTCATGTGAATATAAGTCTAAATAATGATTTATATAACATTTGAAGATAGAAGAAAGACAATGCGAAATGAAATGAAATGAAATGGGGTTTAACGTCCTACTGTTTTGCTCCGAACTGGGCTTATGAAGACGGGCATACGCCATACAGTGTGCTATGAGGGTAATTCTGCCCGGACAGCGGCACTACGGCCTACTCTTATATCGAATTCCAACTGTCAAGGGATCTTTTACGTGCACGCCAATGTGTACACGGGACCTCGGTTTTTCGTCTCATCCGAATGACTAGACAGCTGTCCTTGTCAGGCCCTCCGTCCTGCATCACTGACAAGGGGGAACCACGCCGGAAAATCTGGATGAACTTTCTCGGCCAATGCAGGGATCGAACACCCGACCTCCAAGCTAGCGAGCCAGTGCCTTACCCACTTAGCCACCGTGATCCCGAAAGACAATGCAATAGCTCTTACATTATGCATCTTTATTAAACAGCAGGATGTAAAACTTTTATTTAGCTGTAACCCGATCGATCGAGTTACAAAAAATCGAAGGTTGAAGGTCAGTATCTTGGTTTGACTCGGTACCCAGATTGGTCCGACGGTTTCCTAATTTTATGGTTACAAAATAAACAACTGTGACTAAAATCGTTGGTGAAAGACACTCTAAAAATGAGGTGAAATTGGTTTTAAATTCCTATTTTTCTGCACCTAACGGACTAATGAAATCAGACATACACCATGCAGTTTACTTTGAGAGAAACGTTGGTCCGAACAGCGTCGTTCCTCTAGCCAAAAACGTTGTAATATAGGCCTACTGATGTGTCCAACTATCAAGGTTTTCACGTGCCTGCCAACGTGTAGCGGGACCTGGTTGTTTCGTCCCATCCGAATGACTAGACGACATTTCATTTGAAGACGCTTCGATCCACAACACTGACAAGTGGAAACCAGGCAGGAATATCACTAGGAACGTTCCCAGTCAACACCACGAAGTCGAACCTGGTTAGTGAAACAGCGTCATACTTACAGAGCCACCGCGGCTCCCTGAAGACACGGGGAACAGAACAACGGATAGATCAAGTCTAGTCAGGTAATAAACAGGTACCGTATAGAAACCAGGAAACAAATATACACGTGGCCGGAAACAGAACTACATCAACTCTGGTTCCCACTGTCTCATTACCTTAAATAGAACTCATTCTTCTTGGGGCTAATCGATTCTCTTAATCCCTAAAATAGTGATAATCGAGTAAAATGGCGGATTGCGGACTACAGCGTAAGATAATATCTCAACCAACCATGACAGCTGAAGTATATGGGTTGTGTTTAATTACGTCACGATTCTATACACACACCATTTCCGTTATACGGACTGACAGAAATATGACAGGACTAAATCCCGCGTCACTCAATTGCAATTCTGTCTGTTCAGGTCGTTCTGGACTGACAATTGAGCATCCCCCACCCCGTCCGCCAAATAAACACGAGCCATACGTCCATCCGTGGCCCTAGTTGCCACAGGGCTGGATTAACCATTAAGCAATACAAGCACCCGCTTACGGCATCATGGGAATGGTGGCAGAACCGAATGTCTACTCTGTTACAAAGCAAATTTACAATATTAAATGGCTGCCAACCACTAACAGACAAGGAGACAAACGACAATCACAAATATATAAATAAAACAATATTTACCTTGTTACAAAGCAAATTTACAATATTAAATGGCTGCCAACCACTAACAGACAAGGAGACAAACGACAATCACAAATATATAAATAAAACAATATTTACCTTGATATTAGTTCTCTGTAACAACTGATTTAATTTCTTTCTTCAGTTGTCTGTTTTATACTAATCAACAATAATTGGTGTTATAATGTCAAACACTATTCATCTACAACTCTCTCCAGATATAATTATATTTTACACTATTTTAAATTTAAAGACTTCCAGCTGGTCCACGTAATCTGATTCAAGGTATTAAAAGTAATCATAACATTATTTTAATCGTGCCTCAAACAACTGATGGGTGAAAATATAATTTGTTCTCTCGCCTAACTTAATCATATTTAACAAGATTTTAAATTGAAAGTCTTCCAGGCATAAAACTATATGTTTAAAGATATCAAATTTAAGATTAACCCTCCCGGGGATGAATCCAACTCCGTGTTTTACTGTATACAGATGACATCGCGTTAAAGATATGAAATTTAATACCATTCATCTAAAACTCTCTCAATATTTAATTATATTTTACACGATTTTAAACCGAAAGGCTTGCAGGGATAAAACTATACGTTTACAGATATCAAATTTAAGATTAAGACGTGTTTGGGAATCAAGGGAGGGGGGACACTAGAGAGTTTATTTGGCAGTATGAAGTCTAATCGTGTTTCGTTATTTGTTATTGGTTCTTTTGCCGTAACATCGCCTGATTTCGTCGCGTTCTCGCCTCCTTGACGTATAGCCAGGATAAGTCGAGGATACGTTAACACGACAAAACACCAAACAGTCGTTTCCTCGTGTGTTCGACTTATCGTGTCGGAAGTTTAAGACCGCACATGCGCTATAGCCTGACTCTACAAAACTAAAATACTCGGCACAAAATATGTGAAAACAATATAATTTCAAAATTAAAAGAGTTTTAGAAAATATATTTTTATAGGTCTGGGTTTTTTTTTCTATCTTATATCCTAAGGACGCCAACTATTGATCTTGGTTCATGCCCGATTTCCAGGGATTGTCTGTAAATTCTTTACAGGTCCCAATTATTAACAGACTTGGTTTACATTCGGCATGATCAATCATTTCAATAACAGGATGGTACCGATTAATATTGGTGCATACTCGACTCGCAGGAGCGGGGCTACGCCCACTTTTTTGTTTACATTTTGTCTGTAAACACTCTTCATTCCGCAAATCTGAATGGATTTTAATCAAATTTGGCATGATCATTACTTCAAAGAAAGGATGACACCCTCTGATGTAAATGCATGCCCGATGCTTGAAGCATGGTCCCTTAGTATATTTTTTTCTTTGTTCGTCTACTTGTCTTGTAACCCCATTCTGATTTATCAATTTTAGGCTTATATTATTTTCCAGTTGTATCAAATATCATTGATACCATTTTATTCATTCCGTAATTATAAAAACAAATACGTGCTGGGAGATGTAACTCGAGAATCATTCCATTGGAGCGTATGGAACGGACGAATGAATTTACGATAAGGTCAATAACAGCTACGAATCGATTTCCGCATCTCAGAAAAAGGCCCCCCCCCCACCATTCTTGGAGTGGCGTGCTAACACCAGTATGGAGATTTGAAAACCTTTCGTCCAGATATAAGGCTTTCTACAATTCCTTTTCCACTTTTAAACACGTGAAATCTTCTGAAATCCCGGTCTAAGCTAGCGCTGATCGTCTGCTTGTCTTGTTTTCAAGTTAAAATTATTATGATTTATTGAAAGAAATATTTTGAATAAATGTACGTTATTGTTGAAACGGATTAAAAATATGTAATATTTCTCTTTACCACCCTATGTTGATTAATCAATTTCAGGTCTTTATTACTTTCCGCTCGTATCAAACATCATTCATATCATTTTATTGATTACAAAATTATAAAAACAACTTTCAGAGGTTCTCCCAATCGCGGAAGTCTATATTGTGCCTATTTTCGATCATCTACCGATGAATATACGATCAGTTCAATATAACCTGTAAATCATAAAATATAAAAAAAAACTCTTGGCGTGGCGTGCTAACACCAATGTGGTGATTTGGAAGATTTTGACCTGACTTAAGGCTTTCTGCAATTCCCTATTTACCCTTAAATAAAACAAATGTGAAATCTTCTGAAAGCCCGGTCTATCTATCGTACATGAGGCAGGATGTGCTTGCTAGTTCGCGAACTCCTGACACCATTTGTTATTCAAGGAATTAACCTAGCTAAACAACGTTCATTTTGCTATTATAATTCTAGAATACTTGAATATAATACCACATACAATTTCCCTTTGAACGCAAAACTTTTGATTATTTTGAGAAAAGGAATAATTAATAACCATTTTCCCATTGATTATGTCATTGTATCAGTTTTATTTATATTTATCTAATGAGTCCAACGATATGTTTTTTGTGTCTTGTAGAAAGAGACTATAGTCGACAGAATAACACGACAGAATAAAGTGACGTATGATTAGTTAAATACTGTCTGATGTTGTGTTATCGGGTTATGAAAGGGGCAAGACTTCACATGGCAATTATCAGCTCCTCCCCCTCATCCCTCGACTTCCGGCAAAAATCGACGCCCTTTCCATTGGACGCAATACGATGACAACAACCAATATGAGTATGGGCGCCCCATATGGTCGAGTGACATTAGTTGGGCGCCACATAATGACTTGATTGGTGGGGCGCCTTATAATGACAATATATGATTGTCGCACTGCACATAATGCAAAATGCCGAGTGAGATTGGTTGGGCGCCCAAAACGGCATGATTCTTGGGATGTCCATTAGACCGAGATCATCGGTGCCCATAATATAATTGGCGGGGCGCCCATAATGCCGAGTGAGATTGGTTAGGCGCCCACGAATGAAATAGGCGCTCATAGCGGCGTGATTGCGTTTATCGGCGCCCCCAAAAGCCCTTGCCCCCCCCCCCCCGAACATTTTTGGTTGGCTACGGGCCTGCATAGTAATCATATTTAACACGATTTTAAACTGAAAGTCTTGAAGGGATAAAAGTATACGTTTAAAGAAGTTAAGATTAAAGACTCTAGGGGATAAATCCGACTCTATGTTAACCATTAAGCAAAATCAGCACGTATTTGGGAATCAAAGGAGGGGGACACCAGAGAGTTTCGTGGGGAGTATGAAGTCTAATCGTGTTTTGTGTAATTCAGTTCTCTGTTTCATTAAACAAGAAGCCCATCCAATATCACCACTAGCTGCATATTTTATTTTATGGAATTTAAACAAGTCTAATAGATATATCATATGAGAATCCTTCTGTCTGAAAATTTTTTGAACAGAGAGAGTACCATTAGAGGTATGCTTGCTGACTTGGCTAGTTCATCTATCTGTACTAATATTTGTGACTGTGGTTTGTCTGTCTGTCTGTTTGTCTATCTGTTCGGGGTTGGTGGCTACACTAGGTCTGCCCCGAGTCTGAAATTTGGGGTATAGGGGTAGCTCGGACCGGGGAGTAACATAGGCCAGGTGGCGTTAGTCTACCACTTCCGGTTTTGGGGTTATGACCCCCGAGTGAAGCCGGGCATTCTTCTAGTTAATACATAATTTAAAATAATAAGTATTTATAGATTTTACAATAATCAATATTTAAATATATTCTATTCTGTAGATGGTCTAAAATACACAATTTTTGTCTTTAACTGATTTACAAACAAACGCCATTTGTAGCACCATGCAGGAGATAATGTAATTTAGCATGTCATCTATATACAATAAAACACAGAGTTGGATTCATCCCCGGTGTTCTTTGTTCTTAAATTTGATATCTTTAAACATATAGTTTTATCCCTGGAAGACATTAAATTCCAAATCTTGTTAAATATGATTAAGTTGGGCGAGAGAACAAATTAAATCTTCACCCATCAGTTGTTTAAGGCAAAATTAAAATGATTTTATGATTACTTTCGATACCTTGAACCAAGCCTTTAAATTTAAAATAGTGTGAAATATAATTATATCTGGAGAGAGTTGTAGATGAGTGGTATTAAAGATTACATCACCAATTATTGTTGATTAGTATAAAACAGACAACTGAAGAATGAAATTAAATCAGTTTTTACAGAGAACTAACATCAAGGTAAATATTATTTTATTTATATATTTGTGATTGTCGTTTGTCTCCTTGTCCGTCTGTTTGTGGATGGCGGCCATTTAATATTGTTAATTTGCTTTGTAACAAAGGAGACATTCGGTTCTGCCGCCATTCCCATGATGCCGTAAGCAGGGGCTTGTTTTGCTTAATGGTTAATCCAGCCCTGTGTATAAGCCTATAAGATCAACTAGGGCCACGGATGGACGTATGGCTCGTGTTTATTTAGCGGACGAGGTGGGGGGGATGCTCAATTATCAGTTCAGAACGACCTGAACAGACAGAATTGCTATTGAGTGACGCGGGATTTAGTCCTGTCATATTTCTGTCAGTCCGTAAAACGGAAATGGTGTGTGTATAGAATCGTGACGTAATTAAACACAACCCATATACTTCATCTGTCATGGTTGGTTGAGACATTATCTTAAGCTGTAGTCCGCAATCCGCCATTTTACTCGATTATCACTATTTTAGGGATTAAGAGAATCGATTATCCCCAAGAAGAATGGGGTTTATTTAAGGTAATGATGAGACAGTGGGAACCAGAGTCGATGTAGTTCTGTTTCCGGCCATGTGTATATTTGTTTCCTGGTTTCTATACGGGACCTGTTTATTACCTGACTAGACTTGATCTATCCGTTGTTCCGTTCCCCGTATCTTCAGGGAGCCGCGGTGGCTCTGTAAGTATGACGCTGTTTCACTAACCAGGTTCGACTTCGTGGTGTTGACTGGGAAAGTTCCTAGTGATATTCCTGTCTGGTTTCCACTTGTCAGTGTTGTGGATCGAAGCGTCTTCAAATGAAATGTCGTCTAGTCATTCGGATGGGACGAAACAACCAGATCCCGCTACACGTTGGCAGGCACGTGAAAAAACCTTGATAGTTGGACACATCAGTAGGCCTATATTACAACGTTTTTGGCTAGAGGAACGACGCTGTTCGGACCAACGTTTCTCTCAAAGTAAACTGCATGGTGTATGTCTGATTTCATTAGTCCGTTAGGTGCAGAAAAATAGGAATTTAAAACCAATTTCACCTCATTTTTAGAGTGTCTTTCACCAACGATTTTAGTCACAGTTGTTTATTTTGTAACCATAAAATTAGGAAACCGTCGGACCAATCTGGGTACCGAGTCAAACCAAGATACTGACCTTCAACAGAACTAAGTTCTTGTAGGAAATAAAAAAGGCTCGCCCTTATTTTTTTGGTTGATAATCTAAGCAATGACATATCGATTTTTTGTAACTCGATCGATCGGGTTACAGCTAAATAAAAGTTTTACATCATGCTGTTTAATAAAGATGCCTATTGTAAGAGCTAAATTTGTCTAATGCATTGTCTTTCTTCTAACTTCAAATGTTATTTAAATCATTATTTAGACTTATATTCACATGACAAGATCATAATCAACTCTCTAGATCACCGGATGGCTACGATATTAAGAAGATTAGAACATCGCCGCCATTTAAAAAAGTTTAACGATGAAATAGATAATCGAGACTCTGCGATAATAAACAATCTAGGCTACATTTTGACGAAACTTCAAACACTTTTTAGTTTGCACAGTAAAATGTATTCGGAATGAAAATTGTTAGCATATTCATTTTACATTATCTATTTATGAACTATTATAGCAAGAATAATCAGCCCTGTATTTAAATCTTACATAATGAATCTTTAAACTTAAATCATTTTTCTTTTAAACTGAGGATTATATTGACAGAGGAGATAAAAGAACCCTTGACAGTTGGATTTTAAGAATGAGAAGGTCATAGTGCCGCTGCCCGGGCAGTATTCTCCTTATATACCACTGTATGGTATGGTGTATGTCAGTCGTCATTAGCCCAGTCGGTGTAGACAATTTGGACGTTAAACCCCTATTCTATTTCATATTTTATTGACAGATGAGGCACCTAATTGTATTTGGAATATTGATAATATTCCTGTCTACCACGGTCCTGTCACATTACAAGAGTTATCCCACCTGTTACCGCCCGGTATGTTAATGTCAATGTAATTGTAAAAGTCGAAGACCGCTATGGCCGAAAGGTCGACGAGGCAGAGGGCGGAAAGGGAAGCGAGACCTAGGCGTTAGTGATGTCGAGGATGTCTTCACGAGAAATGATGAACCGTTGGAAGAACTAGAGAGGTTTGTGACTGGACAGGATTTTAGTCTAGAAGAGGAATAAAGTTTTTCTGGTAATATTTTCTAATGGGTAAGAGATTGGTGATTTTTATAGTAATTTTTATCTAAATACCAGAAAATGTCCATCAACCATGCAAGCTCCCAATCTTTTATTGGATTCGCTTCCAAATTGTCATCACTTGCCCAGGTACTGGGTTTAACCTACCACGATGATTGCCTTTTGACAATCATGTGTCCAGGGGTACTGTTGTTAAGGGGAGAGAGAGAGAGAGAGAGAGAGGGACTCTTGACGCGACCTTCCACGGTCAGATTTTCATGTAGTGTAGGTCATCGAAAGTATCTAAATATAGATCTGTATTATAATCAGTGTAGTGTAGGTCATCGAAAGTATAAAAAAACGAAACGAAACGAAATATAGATCTGTATTTTAATCCGATTGTGGTGTAGGGTTTGGCACGGAAAAACTTCTAGTCCTTCGGTGGGGCCAAAAACCAGCCCGATCGTAGCACTTAAAAATCCACTGACAGTTTGGAAAATCGAAAAATCAATGGAGCGTAGCGCCGCTGTCTGGGCAAAATTCCTTAAACCAGTTGGTACAAAATGTAAGACGTTAAATCGTATTTCATTTCTCCTTTAAGGTAACCATTGTTTTATTCCTCCTTTAAGGTAACCATTGTTTTATTCCTCCTTTAAGGTAACCATTGTTTTATTTCTCCTTTGTTTTCGTTACAGTTGACATGACGATCCAACCAAGTGTCCAACCAGAAGTTGAAAAATAAAATGCCATAAAGTCATTTTGCGTTGTTGTTATTTTTGTTCAGACAATATTCGATATAATTTCTCCAACAAACTGGAACTGGAACTTTATACGATTTATTGCCCCCCCCCCCGTCCGTCCGTCCGTTCGTCCGTCCATCCTTCCCTATCAGTTTTTTTCCATAGCATATGCCATGATAAGTTGAAGATATCTTTATGAAACTTTGTACAACTGTCGTTACCCAGTTTAAGGAGAGAAATTGTAATGAACTTCGTTCTTTCATCCCGGTTCTAACTGTTCGTGCTAACATAAGATCTATCACTGCGTCAAGTGGTATAGTTTCTGTCCCATGCCCTTCTCACGTATCAAGCAAACAGGAACAAAAAACACAAAATGACGGACATGCCAAATGGACTTGGCCCTGAACATCCAGCGACCCTGCATATAATTAACCAGACTTAGACCTGAACATCCAGCGCCCCTGCATACAAATAACAGAGATAATAGTTGGCTTAGAATTATTCAATTATGCAAAAGCCACAACTGTGATTTCGTGAACGGTTTATCAGATATGCTTCAGAATAAAAAAAAACAACAATTTTTTTATCAGGTGATTGGGAAATGCTGGGCTTCTTCTGGTTATAATGATGAAGAACTTGGGAAAGTTCAACAAAATATTATACGCCATGGGAAATTATAACAAGGGAGATAATTCAAGGGGAGATAATCCTAGAATATACTGGAATCAGACTGGTAATTGTTTACCCCGTTGATTTAAATGCTTATAATGTGGAAGAGAAGGAAACACCGGCGTATTTAATGTTAGTAATGTACCATAACGTGAAACTTTTTAAAATTTTAGAACACATCCTTCAGAACATAGGCAAAATAGATACATCATCGAAAAAGAGCTTACTTGGACTTTGGAAATACAGAAAGAATTTTGTGTATACGAAACATACAATCGTGAATGTGATTGCGGTTTGGGTGGGGGTGGGGTGTGTGCGAGGGTTGGGGGCGGGGGGAGTGACCAGGTAATTCACTTTCTTGTGTTCTGTTAAATGAGAATACTGGATTGTAATGCTAGTGGAGGCGGAGGGGGGGATGATGGATGGCCCAATGGTTAGCGCATGCACGTTGTATCATAAGGTCTGTCATTGAGTCAACTGGCGAGGTTTCGATAATACGGTTGTACGTGACAAGGAGTAGGGTCGACTGTCCAAACTCGTGGGTTTTCTCCCGGTCCCCACTCACTGCCATAGACCCCTACGCGCAAGCGAATTATTGAAATAAAATTGAACCATATGTTAGTCCCGAAATGACCTAGTTTGCGTCGCGTGGACGTTACCCCCCCCCTCCCTCTCTCACAAGCGGCATTACAAACTCTTATTTTGAATTCCAACCGTCAATGCCATGGTCCTTTAATTGTACAAGGGACCTCGGATTTTTGTCCTATATTAACAAATAGGCACATTACCTTGCCAGATCCACCTTTCTTCACCACTCAGACACCGCGACGGAAAATACCGAGGAACTTTCACCTGTAACACTGGAAGCGAAAATCACGCCGAAGTTTTGCGACCAAACCAGAACCTCTTGGCTAGAAACCAAGCACCTTATTCGCTGAGCCACCGTATTATAAAAATATGGGTCACCTCATTCGCTGAGCCACCGTACAAGAAACAGATGGGCCACCTCCTTTAAACATGAATTTAACAATGTCTGTTCCTGACAAGGGACAATGGAAAGTTGTTGGAATGAAATGAAAGGACCTTCTAGTTCTAGTTAGTTGAAACTCAAGACGGTGCCCTGGTGGTGTTTAAAGCTGGGGTAAAGCAGTTATATACATACTACCATATGGTATCGTTACATACTAACATTTATGGGTATATATTCTAGATATTTAATCTTAAGGCTGTTAAAAAACAAGGAAGTCAACACAGTTAAAATAGCTATTAAATCGATTTGTACCGAACATGGATACCCGTCAATAATACAGAGTGGCCAGTGCCTTGAATGTAAAGGCGCACTTAAAACACATTTCATAAAACAAAATGTTAAAATAATTTGTAATTGACTATACCATACTCAATTGCAAGGTAAAATCGAGAGAATTAATAGAGTTGTGAAAGATAAGATTAAATTTGATCAACTGAAAAGACGACTACAGCTGTGTAGAGAAGATGCCCCAAGTGTGTAACGCAATGAATAAACAACCACGAAAGGTGTTGTCTTATGCTACACCGTTTGCAATGTACTTAGGTAGAACAGACGAAATAAGAGAAAAGGTTTCTTCCGCGACAGTTAGATGTGCCATGAGAATGATTGGCAAAGCTGTCAACTGTTCTGTTCTATCTTTGTGACCGGTGTATAATTTCCCCAAGGGCGTAGCCACATCCCAGGTAAGAGGTGCATAATGAATGGGCGTATATTGAAAAGACATACGCGTTTATCCCGATACAAAGTCGAATATAAGAATAACAAACCCAGTTGTACGTGGTGTTCTTCTCAAGGCATTACAAGCCTCACTTAAACACTCGAAAAACGGCGCCGAAAGAATTCAAAGGAAGTGCTTAAGACAATTGTGAAAAAAAAACCCGACTCCATAAACTAAAATATTATATCCCTAAGATACTGCGTTTAATGCTGAAATGTTTGCAGTGGGCCCCGGTGTAAGTATTCACAACTCTGAGGGTGACGTAATTGCAGAGACTCGATGTAATTATTAATAAATTTCCTAAATGACAATATCCCGATTTCCTATTACCCTTAAGGATATAGCAATTGACACGTTGTAGCCGTGGCTCACCAGCTGACGACAATCAGAATATACAGGTGTTCAGTTACATTGAGGGAAATGTTTTGAGTGGCCCACAGACGGTAATTGTTTCATTGATTGCGGTAGTCTATTCCATAGAAAAGGACCAGCACAAGAAAAGGCACGTTTTCCAAGTTGTAAGTTAATGGCTGGAGATTTTAGAAGATGTTTTTTTCTGAGAACTGAGATTTCTGCTGGTAGTATAGGGTTCTACAAGACATTTTATATAAGGTGGAGCTTGGCCGTTAAAGGCTTTAGTACTGATATATTAAATACTCCCATTTTAGCATTAGAAGTATTAAATGCTTTACAAGAAATGAAATCTGAAACTGCCCCTGGGCCAGATGGGATTGCTATAGAGTTTCTTTTAGTATGTTCAAATTCATTTTCTATCGTAATAGCAAATTTGTTTAATAGGATTTTTGATACAGGAGAATTTCCCGATTCTTGGTCAAAAGCCCTAATAGATCCGGTGTATAAGAAAGGTTTAAAATCTGATACTAATAATTACAGGTGAATTTCTCTTCTGGACTGCATCGGAAAAGTGGATTCTTTCATCTTAAATAAATGATAAATACACAGAGGTCTCAGCAGGCTACCGACCAGGTTACTCGACGGTGGATCACATTTTAACATTGCATGGCTGAGCTCAGAAATACTTATTTAGGCACAACGGTAGCTTCTATTGTCTATTTGTAGACTTTTCTATTTGACTCAGTAAATAGAACCAAACTAATATGTTTATTAGCCCAAACGGGTATAGAAGGCAATATGTTGAGGACATTAAGAAGTATGTACACTGGATCAAATATTACCCCTTATTTTGAATGTCGTACTGGTGTTCGACAAGGTTGCATTTTAAGTCCCATTCTGTTTGGTTTTTACATTAATCATTTATATGATATGCTGGAAAATGCCGATGTTAGGGGCATATCACGATACACGAGGTAAATAATATCCTGGCATTCTTATATGCAGACCTTTAAAGGGAAATACACGAGCTTGAAAAGTTTTGTAAACTGTTTAACCTTGATGTAATTATAGTTTTTAGAAATGGTGGAATTATTAGAAAAAATGAAAAGTGTTTTTTTTGTATGAGGAAAAACTAGAATTTATTACATATTATAATTATTTAGGTTTATTGTTTTCTTCAAGATTGTGTTGGGGTAAATGTTTATTAAATTTATCACTTAAACCCGAAAAACTTTAATACCAATTAAGTCTTTACTTTGTAGAGAGAGGGAGAAATGGGGTTTAACGTCCACTCGACATTAACTAGGTCATTTCAGGACTAACATAGGGTTAAACTTTTATTTTAATAATTCGCTTGCGCGTTGGGGTCTTTAGTAGTTGGAGGAAACCGGAGGACTCGGAGAAACCCACGAGGTTGGACAGGCGACACTACTCCTTGTCACGTACAACTGTGAAATCGAAACTACGCGAGTTGACTCAATGACAGACTTTATGATACAAAGCACACGGCAATTCGACCCCCCCCCCCCCCTCACCATATTCAGACGACTTCATATTGTACTTTTTATTCATATTAAGCCAGTAAATTAACAATGATTAGAATTTGCTAGATATACGAATAATAAAAAGACATGCCTTCGAATCAACAGTTTTCTCAGATAGTCTATATACATTGTCGAACCCACGACCCTGAACACCAACTCTCGGAAGGGTCTTCGTATTACAACCATCCCAGTCTTCTAACCCATTTATAGTAATCATCTGCCTCATCATTGCAATCCTGAAGTTTAGAACCTGAAAGCGATGAACAGTATTGCCTCATATTGTCTCTAAACTTTTGGTCGCAGCTCGCCTGGTTTACACTATAGTGTTTTCCCTAATAAAATAAAGTATAAACACAACTTACGTGACATATTAACTTGAATTACTACATTGGCGTAATCAAGGCAAGAACAGTATTTGTTTCGGAGGCGAGGATAGAAATCAAAACCCTTAATTAATAGAAGGGTCCAATACTGTCTGCAAGATAAGGTCTTGGTTTTGCATATTATAACGCAAGCTGTTTTACTGTGGAAATAAAGCTTCATTTTAGAGTCAACACAAATTATTAAATTAAATATAAATTTGTTACCGGCCCAATTCAAATTATACCGATATTTCGTTCCAGTATCAATTTCGGTTGTTAATGTTTATGCCACTATCCCTATCCAAATAAGTGCAAACTTACTATCACGAACCGGGCATGATGTCATCGCCGCCATATGACGTCATGCCCAAGCAGGTTAGGTTTTATTCCAAGAGCGTTACCTCAAGAACAAGAAGATACATAGCGCGTGCGTAAGGGGACCATTTCCTGGTCCTAAACTTCACTTTTCACTTTCTAATTCCATTTATATCAATATTTCATTTTATTTTAATTTGGGAAGGCAGATTAAACCTGGTTTTAATGAAGCGTTTACTTAAACATGAATAGCAGAAATCATGTTTATGACGTGCAGGATTAAAATGTTGCTTGTAATCCCCGTTGAAAGGGTCACTGCATCCATTGGAATGCGTAGCGCATGTTTGCCCTTCTACAAATCAGACGACCATAATGGCCAACAGGCAAAATATGCCGATAATCTTTACTTTCATTTCTGAAAAAATAAAAAAAAGAAGCCATTTCAATAATCCTTTAACCCTTGTTTGGTCACGTCGCACGAAAAACGTTGTCGGCAACAAGGAGTAATCTAAGACCCCAGACATAAATAGATTTTTGTGTACAAAATTTTATTCAAATACGATCAAACTACAGCTTTATATAAAGACTGAATAATAATCAAAGCAAAAAAACCAAAACAAACATATTTGAGGTATTAACAGTGAAAATATGAATTATAAAGTATTTTTGAAACCCCTTGTTTCCGATAATGTAATACTTTTAGTTTTTTGTCAAATGATGAATGTTGCCCCTGCCTCACTTCCGTTCTATTTGTAGCTTTATGCTCGACATTAAGTAGCTAACAGTGCATAAAATTCTCGCTAGAAAATTGTGAACCAGTTCCCCACAAATGTTAAGGATATGGTCGTGGGGTCAAGAAATATCTATTGTATTCACACAAGGGTTAAGCTATCCTGTGCCAATGTAGGGGTGGTGGGAGTCGAGTCACCTAACACGATGCGTGTGCTTTAGATTGATTATAAAGCCTATTTTGGCAAGGAGAAAAGTCGCCTACTCATCTTCGTGGGTTACCTCCGGGTCCTCAAGTTTCAGCCAACTGCTGGCATTTTTGATAGGTTAGTCGAGTTTGTGTTAAGTGCTCTCTCTATATACCTGTAATTTCACAATTCCTAATTGGAAATATGTATATACCTTATAGATGTGTTGGGTAGTTATTTCCAACAAACAGTGGTGCAGAACGGAGCACTTGACAAGGGACAACGTATAGTCGCTCGGACGAGACGAAAAATCGATGCTCCATGTACATATTGGCGTGCTCGTAAAAGATCCCTTGACAATTGGATTTTGATATAAGAGTAGAACATAGCGCTGCTATCTGGGCAAAATTTCCATAACACACTGTATGATGTATGCCTGTCTTCATTAACCCAGTCGGAGCAGAACAGTAGGACATTAAACCCCATTTCATTTCATCTTACTAGAAAAATACTGGATTCCCAGAAAACCACCCATGGAGCGCTCACAGCAAAATAGTGTAACGGTGTCACTAACTGACAGCTTGCCTACTCGAGCTCAATCGACGTAAGGAGCGCCTCGAATATGTTAATCTAAAGGTTAGCGACTAGCGGTCATGAGAACATCGAAAGGGTTCAAAATACCATAGACTCTGCTACTAAACGCAAGCTGATTCACACCGGTATTGGGAAAATCTTCGTTGAACGTCATACGGCGTCGATAACACGTACATGTTAATTGATTACATCGGACGTTGTAACACAAATTGGTGCCTTTTACTTTTACTATCTTATGTATCGTTTACACTAAATGGGAACTATTTTTTTTATCCAAATATACCCCCAAAACCTTCATGTTGTTCTTTTAGAAATTAATTTTCAGCAGAATCAAGTTAATATTGCGAGCTAATTAACTCGCCCCGACGTCATCACTCTCAGAGATAACAGCGACCATGTGACCATTTACTGCTCGAAAACACAAGTTGACAGGAGATAATAATTTACTAAGGCATCTATATTTATGGTATACGGACAACGAGCAATGACAGATATAAATTAAACATATATTCTCCCGTCAATTAAGACACGTGACATGTTTTAAATATTTTGTGGGGGATCGAAGCAAAGTTAACGTTTGATAGGTAAATTAATTTGAACACGCTCAAGCCCAAATAGTTCAAATCACACAGTTTGTAAGTAGGAAGGCCTCTTTAAATATTCCCCATTTTTATAATAAATGAATATTTACCTTTGTGATTATTCTCTGTAACAGTTGACTTCTTGTCTGTTATTCCTTTCTTCAGTTGTGTATTTTATACAGGTCAGGAGTACCTGGGGATATTTTTCTACACCTCTCTAGATATAATTATATTTTACACTATTTTATATTTAAAGGCTTCCAGCTCGTCCGTTACCTGATTCAAGGTATTAAAAGTAGTCATAAAATCATTTTAATATTGCCTTAAACAATATGGACGGGTGTGTCATTTACAATTGGTGTCAAAGTTTGTCAGGTGTAGACTGGAAGTATCAAATTTGCCTCCTTTTTAATTCTATGACCCTGGGGAGGGGGCGAGTATACACACAAAATATTATAATAAAGAGTTAATATGCTACCTGGGCAAAATTCACAGAATGTAAAACCTAGAAGTAATTAGCGACACCTTTTGTCGATCGATCGATCAACTGAGAGAGAGACGTGCTGAGTGGGTAGGCAAGGTAGACAGCCGCCCCTAATTGATGCAAATACAAAACAAAAACTGAAAATGATTGATAACGCTGAATGAGATATCTTACCAGGGCCTGGTGGTAATTGTGGCTATGTGCCCTCTCTTAAAGTGCCTTCGAATTTCGAAAAATATACCTGAAATACACAAGGAAAATCCCGCGTCATTTCATCATATTCCCATTGCCCCAATGACAATATTGTGCTCCCTTTCCCTGCTGCCCTTCCCATGTTCCTGTCAAGTCCAAGATACTAAAAACCAATCGTACATACACCATCGATCAACCCTCCTTGTTTGTTGGCTCTCAGCCTCAGTATGACAGAAGCCAGTTAAGGCTGCCGGTGATCGACTGATTGTGGCTGGCATTCAATTTTCTCTGATTTCGGATTCGAGTTTTAAAAACTGTGCAGTTGCCAACCATTTAGCCCCATATTAGAATTGTCAACGGTGAACTGGGTAGCTCTGGGCCCTCGGAAAAACTGGTTTTGTTGGGTCCAGATATTGTGGAAATAACAACTAGTTTGATAAACTATTCTTTTACCTCATTTTTCGGATTGATGCCATTGAGGTCCTCGGACCCGTTCACTATTCCTGCACTCCAGTTCAGTCATAGATCATTTTTTCCTCGAATTGAGGCCATTATAAATTTCAGTGAAAGCGAAGATGAATTTTAGTTATTTTGAAAAATATATATATATATATGTCAAATTATGTTTTTTTCCAATCGGGGAGGATGGACTCATAACTCTTATTAAAGGACTCCCAAATTATAGTTCTAATTTGCCAAGTAAATCATCAACCATTATACTGACATACAATTTGCATTTGTGTGTGACGGACAATGACCACAATATGCCCTTTCTAGACACCCACATTTTCATGTGGATGTATATTGTCGTCGCCACTGACCGTCCCGATGTCCTTCCAGCTGTTCACATTTTGTTTGTACACACTCTACAGGTCAGAATTCTTTTCCAATTTGAAGAAACTTGAAGTATAGTTTCGTATCCCAAGAATCTGGGTTACTTTTCTTTTTACATTGATTGACTCATTGTCGAACCGTAACATCCTGGATTATGGCCCCTAATTGTGCGATAATCCCTTCATACATTTTTAGCTTGTTCTCTGATTTATACGGATGGCTTCCAGATTAGATTTCACGGCCAAATTTATACTTCCATAACATTCTGAATCAATTAATCCGTTTCAGTTTTATTTATTTAGCTAAATGAATTTAGGAAATCAAAAGAAAAAAAAATAATAAACTGAAAAGAAATCCGGAAATTGGCTATTAGCATACGCAAGGCCAATATCGTTACCACGACTCTATTGACATCCTTGGCCAGGGTAATTATTTTACACCGGTGCCATGGCCGGTGTCTTAATCTTAATTATCTTCTCGTTTTCGTTATTATGTCAGTTTATTCTTAAAGTGCTATTTCTCACTCATTAGCGAACAGAATTGAACGAAACCTGACAGGTATCCTTTTTAGGGAATACCCGTCCCATTTGGTGCTTGTTTTTCTTGATTCATAGGTCGTTTATTGTCTGACTTGCAGAGAGAGAGAGAGAGATGATGTGGTTTAACGTCCATTCGACATAAACTATGTTTTTTTTCTGGGCTAACATATGGTTCAATTTTATATCAATAATTCACCTAAAACTATCTCCGTATATTTACACTGTTTTAAATTTAAAGGTATCAAAAGTAATCACAAATTCTATTAACTGGTTTCTGTGAAATTTGCCCGGGCAGCATTTTAACGCTTTATATTATAATTTTGTGTCTATACTCGTCTCCTCCCCAGAGTGAAGGAATTACTTGAAGGCAGATTTGTTACTTCAAAATCGACACCTGACAAACTTTGGCACCAATTATGAATTTTGATTACTTTTAATACCTTGAATCAGGTAACGGACGAGCTGGAAGCCTTTAAATTTAAAATAGTGTAAAATATAATTATATCTGGAGAGAGTTGTAGATGAATAGTGTTTGACATTATAACACCAATTATTGTTGATTAGTATAAAACAGACAACTGAAGAAAGAAATTAAATCAGTTTTTACAGAGAACTAACATCAAGGTAAATATTATTTTATTTATATATTTGTGATTGTCGTTTGTCTCCTTGTCTTCCTGGTTGTGGTTGGCGGTCACACTAAGGTTGCCACGAGGGTGAAATTGGGGATATTAGAGTCGCTCTAGCCCAAGACGAACATAAGGCTCGTAGTGTAGCACTACCACTCAAATCAACTATTACACAGAACAGACTCAAATATACATTTAATATGAGAACAGGGTTTATTCAAAGTTGGGGAGCCACGCTGGCTAGGTGGTTAAGACCCTGGCTCGCTAGCCTGGAGGTCGGATGTTCGATTCCTGCATTGGCCGAGAAAGTTCATCCAGATTTTCCGACGTGGTTTCCCCTTGTCAGTGGTTCAGAACGGAGGGCCTGACAAGGGAAGATGTCTAGTATACAGTCCCGTGTATATATTAGAATGCACGTGAAAGATCCTCTGGCACTTGGAAATCGATATTAGAGAAGGCGATAGCGCCGCTGCCCGGCAAAATTTCCCTCATAGCACACTGTATGGCGTATGCCCGTCTTCATTAGCCCAGTATAGGAGCAGAACAGTAGGGCGTTAAACCCCATTTCATTTCATTTCATTTCTACTCAAAGTAAATAGAAATTTTACTTACTTAGCCAGTCAAAAGTTTACAACTTAAACAATTTTATCTAAGTCAGTTTACACAGTTTTATCTAAGTCAGTCAGAAAAGTTTGGAATTTAAACAGTCTTATCTAAGTCAGTTACAAAAGTTTACAACTTAAGCAGCTGTATCTACGTCAGTTTTATCTACGTCAGTTAGAAAAGTTTGGAATGTAAACAGTTTTATCTAAGTCAGTAAGAAAAGTTTACAACTTAAAGCGATAATTTCATATTTTCTAAGAATGTCAAAACATAATTATTTCTATGTCTTTTGCTCAATTTCTCAACGGGCAATAGTGAATTATTTGATTAATATGATTATTCTTTAACAAGGTAGGACTGTTTATAGATACCATCTATTTTAAGGCTTTGTTTTAATAAATTATAAAAATATAACTTAAAAAAATGAAATTGCAACTTTAAACAGTTTTATCTAAGTCTGTCAGAAACATTTTCAACTTAAAAGATGGATTATGCAAGAGCTATTCGGCCTTGCAGAATGGTTTAACGCGTGCCCTTTAGATCCTAAGGTCTGTCGATTCACCGCGTGTACATGACAAGAGGTAAGGTCACCTATTTAACCTCGTGGGTTTTATCCGGGTCCCCAGGTCTCCTTCCACTGATAAACACCCCTCCACGCAAACGAAATATTGACATAATATTGAACCATATGTTTCTTCCCGAAATTTGTATCGAATGGATGTTAAGCCCCAGCACCCCCCCCCCTCTCTCTCTATCATTTATTATGGAATGTTAAACTGACTCGGTGAGAATGGTAAGAAAAATGAATGACGAGAACATTCCAGTTTATGTTTTATTTTTAAAAGGGAGTTAGTAAAACATGTCAAATCTTTTAACCCTTGTTAATTATCGTTGTCCTCTGAATGTATGTTTATATATGGACTAACTAAATGTTTGTAAACTCGTGTATTAAATGAGAAAATAAAGTCATTATTATTATTATTATTATTATGTCTCTGGGTGACTAACTGGGGGTGGGAGAGGAGAGAGAGACGCTATATAATTACAGCTAATGAATTATGTCCCTTTTTTTGTTCGAAGATGAGGCAACTAATTGTATTTGGGATTTTGGTAATTCTTTTGTCCATCACACTCTCATCACGTGGACATGGTGCCACTCATATAACTTGTCCACATTGTCACTGTGGATGTCGACGAGGATGGAAGAGAGACAGGGTTGTCAATGAAGTCGAAGATGTTTTCAAGAAGAGTGCTGAGCCTTTGGAAGAACTAGAGAGGTTTGTAACTGGAGAAGACCATGACTTAGAAGAAGAATAACGTCATGAATGGTAATATTATTTATTTTCTCGTGTTGACGTCACGTTGACGACATGGTTACTATTAAAATTGTGTGTAGTTCCATAGAGAGCCACGGTGGCCCGACGAGTAAGGCGCTGGGTCGCTAACCAACAGCTTCGATAATAGATTTTTCAGCGTAGTTTCTCGTTGTTGGTGGTAAAGGACGAGAAACCGAGATCTCGTGTAGCCTACTCAATAAAACACTTGTGTCCTCCATAGCAACCAGCATGGCGTTTGTCCGTCTACATAAGCTTTGTTAGTACAGACGGGCGTTAAATTTAATTTCATTTTATTATCAAAATTGATCAACAAATGTGCATCACATTCATAGTAAATATGAAACCGAAATCAGGTTAATAAAAAAGTATTTCTTTGTTTATTTTAGAATAGATTTGGTGAAATATACATTAACTATTATTAATAATAAATAAAAGATATAGGGTGTTTATCTCCAGGCCAGTCGTGAAATATAGATATCCCACGAGATCAGATGAATACGACATTTGTAGTATATTCTTTTATTTTGTTTCAGACTACGATTCAAGAGTCACTTCTCCCCTTGAAAAATAAACAGTATAAAATCATTTGAGTTTTGTTTTCTGTTCTTCGTGTAGGGTAGGAATACACGCCATGGAGTGAGCCAGTCATAAGAGATAAATTATCTTGGCTTGAAACGGCTCTGCAAAAGATGCTATGTAGATATGTCAACAAAAGAAGAAGGGGTGTGTGGGGGGGGGGGGGTGTAGCGAGAATTTATATAAATAGATTGCCTACACGGGAAGTAATGACTAATCTGAGACCATATAATGATGTAAACTTTGGTATATTTTTCCTTTAACATGGGTATAACTTGATAATCCGACTGGGCTAAAGAAGACGAGTATACGCCATATAGTATGTTATGAGGGAAATTTTGCCCAGGAAGCGGCGCTTTTACCTGCTCTTATATCGAATTCCAACTGCCAAGGGATCTTTTACGTGTACGTCAATGTGTACACGGAACCTCGGTTTTTCGTTTCATCCGAACGACTAGACATAGAGTGTAGGTCTCTTTTGGTTGGTACCTTATCGACCCTAGGGAACGTTTGCCAGGACAGCGGCACTACGGCCTAGTCTTATTTACATTCCAACTGTGAAGGAGGATTGTTTATAGGCGACCGCCATCAACAACACGTGATATCCTTAATTACAGAGTAATCGAACACCATCAACAACAATTACAGAATGTGTTACTTACGTCATCAGTAGTAACAGATATTTCAATATTGTATAAATTAAACATACACCTATCATTCGTGTGAAGCAAAATTAAACGAATGTTTTGATTACTTTTGTACCTTGATTTAGATTACATACGAACTGGAAGCCTGTGAATTTTGCCCAGGTACCTTTTAACTGTTTATTATATTATTTTGTGTGTATACTCGTCCTCTCCCCAGGGTCATAGAATTAAAAGAGAGACAGATTTGATACTTCCAGTCTACACCTGACAAACTTTGGCACCAATTGTAAATTACACACCCGCCCATATTGTTTAAGGCAAAATTAAAATGATTTTATGATTACTTTTGATACCTTTAGATTTAAAACAGTGTAAAATATAATTATATCTAGAGAGGTGTAGAAAAATATCCCCAGGTATTAGTGACCAGTATAAAATATCCAACTGAAGAAATCAGATGAAATCAGACAAGAAGTCAACTGTTACAGAGAATTATCACAAAGGTAAATATTCATTTATTATAAAAATGGGGAATGGTGAACTGCCTAGGCGAAAATGATAAGGAGAATGAATAACGGCAATGACGAAAACATTTCAATATACCATTTAATACTTTATGTTTCATTTTCTTAAAGACCACTTAAGATCAAAAATCTAAATTGCATGTATGTATAGCCCATGGTTACTATATCAACTTTACGGCAAGTTCACACCAATCTGATTACAATTAAGTCGTTCGTTCGTTCTTGGTGTTTAACGTCTGCTTCCACATAAGTGATATCGCAGACAAGACATAGGAGAGCCGAAGCTGATTCCTGTTTTTTAGAATATGATTTTGCAATCTTTCCATTTGGCCTTAGGCCATGGATTTGGTTTAGTGGGAAGTTCTTCCCTTTATTTAATATAAAACATATCGTTTGGTAGATGATCTCGTCTTCTTCTGGATTGGTAGATGTCATCGTTTGGGGTTAGTGTTTAGGTGCCAGGCCCGTCTTATCGTGGCCTCCCCTTACTCCACTGTCCCACTCTCTGGGTTTGGTATCAGTTTTATTTGCGGAATAGTGTTTAGGTGCCAAGTTCGTCTGACCGTAACTCCCCCTTACTCCACTATCCTGCTAGTTTGGTAGATGTCATCTTTGTGGGGTTTGTGTTTAGGTGCCAGGCCCGTCTTATCGTGACCTCCCCTTACTCCACTATCCCACTCTGTAGGTTTGGTGTCTGTTTTTGGTGGAATAGTGTTTAGATGCCGAGTCCGTCTGATCGTGACCCCCCCTTACTCCACTATCCTGCCAGTTTGGTATAAATCCCCTATGTAGTTTAGTGTTTAGATGCCGGGCCCGTCTAACCGTGACCCCCTCTTACTTCACTATTCTACTTAGTCCAACTGTGTCCATTAGGGCGTGGATTTGTTCGAAGATTTGCAGTTTCAGATCTGGTCTCGGGAAGAGTAGGTTCTTAGTGTTTAATGGTATGTTGTTGGTCTCCATTGTTCTCACTAGTTCCCTTCTCTCCTCCTCGTATACCTCGCAGTCTACCAGGACATGGTTGGCGGTACATTTTTCTCCGCACTCACAGATGATGACTTGGTGTTTGTAGTCTCGCAGCCGCTCTTTCACCCTTAGCTTCGATATAAGTCTACAAATATCTCTTCTAGGGTGATTGAGTGTTGTCTTTGTGTAGATCTTGTCATCCAGCCGGAATCTGTATGTGTCAAGTTCAACGAGATTTAATTCCCAGATTGAATTTGCGTGTCTTTTGACCATACTGTAGATTTCCGTGATGCTGTAGTCTATGGTGCGGAGTGGTGCTGTGTCCTTGAGACCTTCATTGGCGAGTCGATCTGCCTCCTCGTTTCCTCTAATGTTGACATGTGATGGAATCCACACGAGTTCTACTTTGCTTCCCTTCTCTAAAACCCTCTGGTACAGCTGCCTGATTTCCAAAATGACTTCTGGTCTTGAGTCCGAGTTGTCATTTTGGATTGAAATCAGACTGCTCAGAGAGTTAAAATTAAGTCCGCTGTTAACGTTTAAGTATCCGAAACGCCAAAACGCTTTTTCAATTACGACCTTAATCCGGTTGATTGGCTGGTGACGTCACAGGCACTACACATAGGATATACATTATCTATACAATATCTCACAGTATGTACAATATATCAATACACACGGCAACTGGACAAGCGTCTATTGGCGGTCCAATTACCACGTGACTGGCCTAATCATAATCACCGAATTATCGTCTTTCATTGGTATAGATTAGACATTTGTGATTGGAATATTTTAGAGTGAATTTAAAATGCCGTATCATGCCGTAGATCAATTTAAGCTGCCTTTGTTTAAATATGCCACGTGTGAAATGAAGATGACTCAAGAAATTAGCGCATTTACCGGTAATTTGGATAACCCCGTAATACTTGATATCCCAAACTTAAGTACAGAAATACAAATGGTGCCAGTCATTTGTTGATATATTCATTATTAGCTATATATAATAATAATAACCATTTCTATACATAAAGAACAACTACAGTGAATATGGAATTTTCCGATGACTATGCATAACATGTACAATAGATCGCACTCATTTCTCTGCCAATCAACGCTTGGTATCTTATTATCATGTACGTTCCATGTACTACGGGTGTAGTAAATGAGGTTAAACTTTGCCGCGAAAATTGCACGGGATCATTCGTGGAGTTCCTGGTGCCGTTTGGTGAGTGATTAAACTGTCAATGCTGTTGTTGTTGTTTATTACAAATTTAACGTCCAATACATAATGCATGATATTATGGACAGGTTAATTTAATTAAGTTATTTACTTAAATAAAAAATAGAAGTTAGGTAAAAACACTAAATAATAAAAAGTTCTTGTATATCTAAACGTCACTTTAAAACAGATTTAAAATAATTAAAAGTTCTTGTATATCTAAAAACCACTTTAAAACACGGTTTTAAAAATGGTTTTAAAATCGTTGTCGTGGGAAGAGAGGGCGGGTCATCTTCTCACTTTGTCATAATGAAAGTTAAAATAGGAGATGCAATTGTAAAATACTTTTATTATATAGAAGATAACCGATGTTAGACATTATAACCTAATCGTATCAAAAACGTTAATCCATCCATCAATTAAATGTTGTTTAAACGCCAATCAACAAATAATACGAGGCTACTTGATTACAAAAACACCGGTGAGCAATAATTATTGGGAACATAGTAATTTTAAACAACTTATTAGTAAAACTTAATTATTTTATACAATTAATGTGTGTGTGTGTGTGTGTGATTCTACCATTAGTTCGTTCGTGGGGTATCACGCACACGTTCCACTTAGAGTGATGTCTTTGATCTGGCCGGCGTAAAAAAGATAATTACCTAATCAACATTTTTAATTCCACTAACACTCACTGCTAACACCAACGTGTAAATTAATTTATGACCCATGCCTGTATAACTTTTATAGTCGGATTGATTAATTAATGACAGATATTAACGACACTACACTTTATGTGGAAAAGCGAAGTGCTCGCAGTAAAAACCACATAGCTGGACCCGTATATTATTTACATATTAAAAGTGTTCGTCCAATAAGTACCATATTGTAAAAAATTAATTAAGAGTTCAGGACTTCAAAGTTTAAAAGTTGTAGGCACTCTAAATTGGATCTTAAATTAAAATGAATTACTAAACAAATTATTCCGTAGTCAATTGTTTTATTTAATTAGGGGGATTAAGGAATCCTTCAGGCGTTAAAGAATACACATGCCGGCTGTATATTAGTAATTAAGGAATAAACATTCCGAATATGCATTCGGTCACTGTGACGTCACTGGCGTCTGAGGGGATTAAGAGTGTTTTCGATAATTGGCAAAGCCGTTTTTACGGAAGGTCTATTTTTACGGCTTTGAGTGAAGATAACTGAAATAATTTCAACCAGATTGGCGTGAACTTGCCGTAAAGTGGATATAGTAACCATTGGCTACACGTATCTCAAAGTTTCCGGGACCATCTTATGTGCACTTTAAAGGGAAATGAAATGAAATGGGTTTTAACGTCCTACTGTTCTGCTCCTAAACTGGGCTAATGAAGACGGGCATACGCCATACAGTGTGCTATGAGGGACATTTTGCCCGGGCAGCGGCGCTACAGTCTACTCTTATATCTAATTCCAACTGCCAAGGGATCTTTTACGTGCACGCCAATATGTACACGGGACCTCGGTTTTTCGTCCCATCCGAACCACTAGACAGCTGTCCTTGTGAGACCCTCCGTCCTGCATCACTGACAAGGGGAAACCACGCCGGAATTTTTTTAAAGGAAGTTAGTAAAGCATGTCAAATCTTTTAACCCTTGTTAATTGTCGTTGTCCTCTGAATGTATGTTTATATATGGACTAAGTTAATATTGCTACTGTAGCAAGATTGATAGAAGTTTTACTCTTTAAATTAATAATGGCATTATATTTTATCTTTAATTAATTATTTGGTTCACATTACATGTATTGTATAGAAGTCAGGCCCCGAGTTCACAAAGGATTCTCAAAATTAAATTAAGAATTTACTCAAATATTTTAACTAAAATATAGCCCTTTAGAAAACTTTTATTGTTTTAGTGTATCAAATACATCAATAAGAAACTATGTACAAAATTTTGTGTTTCTGAATCAAAGATATTTCTCGTAAACAGTATTTGAAAGTTGAGTAAATTCTTAACTTAAGTCTGAAAATGCTTTGTGAACTTGGGGACAAATCTCATGCACTCAAATGATGAGTGACAGATTTACACATAACACAGTTACAAAAATAAAACATGGCTAGCTCTATGTGAAAACAAAATATCACCAGATAACACGTGTGACACTTCTGGTGGTAAGTTTCCACTGTCCATATAAGGATGGTTTTCGACGTCATTAGGCTAATTTTAACCAATCATTATAATTGATTATGTCATATTTGACCAATTGGATAATTGAAAGTCCCAATCTAAAGCTACAAAACTATCATATCTCGAGGCCGCTAAATTCTAGAGGATGAAGATGTAGAAATTTCTATCAGCAGACTAGCGAGTCTGTGTGGATAGGGATTGAGAGCATGACTTTATTGTAATCGATGCTTGTATCGTATGTAACCAGTGCTTGATTTATAAAATGAAAAAACAAACTGATGCATTGTTATTCCTGATTTCGGTTCTTAAACAGTGTTTACAAGACCAATTACATTTTATTCTTTAAATTGCGTCAAGCCATAGAGAGCGAGAGAGGGTATGACACAGAGAGAGGGGTGGGGGGGTGTAGGGGTCTTTACAGGCGACCTGCTACTTGTCACACGATTCCCACAACAACCTCATTCACCTAGATGGGGTGGGATTGGGGCTGAATGGTTAGCACGTGCGCGCTGTATTATACGGTCTGACATTCAGTCAACTGGCGTGGTTTCGATTCCCCGGTTATACGTGACAAGGAGTAAGGTCGCCTGTCCAACCTCGTGTGTTCCCCCCCCCCACACACACACACGGTTAAAGGCCCCTACGCGCAAGCGAATTTTTGAAATAAAATTGAGCCATGTGTTAGTCACGAAATGACCCAGTTTGTGTCGAGTGGACGTTAACACCCCCCTCTCTCTCTTTCTCTCTCTCTTTGTCTCTATCTCTCTCTAGTAACGTTTACAACAAATGATAGCTCTTTATATAAATCTTAAATAATGCACCTTTAAGCAGTTTTATCGCAGCCATTAAGTAAACGAGAAACGGCTATAGGGGGCGCGGTGGCAGTTGGAATTCGATATCACAGTGGGCCGTAGCGCCGCTGTCCGGGCAAAATGTCCATCATAGCTCATTGTATGACGTATAACTGACTTTATCAGCCCAGTCAGAGCAGAGCAGTTGGACGGTAAACCCCATTTCATTTTCGGTTGTAGCTATATAAATTGTAATGAATTGTGTCCCTTTTTTATTTGAAGATGAGGCAACTAATTGTATTTGGGATCTTGGTAATTCTTTTGTCCATCACTCTCTCGTCACGTGGAGATGTCGCTGCTCCACGAAGAGCGAAGAGAGACCTGGTTGTCAATGAAGTCGAAGATGTTTTCAAGAAGAGTGCTGAGCCTTTGGAAGAACTGGAGAGGTTTGTAACTGAAGAAGACTTTGACCTAGAAGAAGAATAACGTCATGAATGGTAATATTTATTTTCTCGTGGCGAATAATAGACAATGACGTCACGTTGACGACATGGATACTATCAAAATTGTGTGTAGTTCCATAGTGAGCCACGGTGGCCCGATGAGTAAGGCGCTGGTTCACTAACCAACAGCTTCGATAATAGATTTTTCAGCGTAGTTTCTCGTTGTTGGTGGTAAAGGACGAGAAACCGAGATCTCGTGTAGCCTACTCAATAAAACACTTGTGTCCTCCATAGCAATCAGCATGGCGTTTGTCCGTCTACATTAGCTTTATTAGTACAGACGGGCGTTAAATTTAATTTCATTTTATTATCAAAATTGATCAACAAATGTGCACCACATTCATGGTAAATATTAAAAAAGTATTTCTTTGTTTATTTTAGAATAGATTTGGTGAAATATACATTACCTATTATTTAATAAATAAAAGATTTAATATAGGGTGTTTATCTCCAAGCAAGCCGTGGAATATCGAGGTCTCACGAGATGAGATAAATACGACATTTGTAATATTTTCTTTTATTTTGTTTCAGACTACGATTCAAGAGTCACTTTTCATGTTGAAAAATAAACCAAACACGGTATAAAATCATTTTTAGTTTTGTTTTCTCTGTAGGTGTTGAGACTAATAACACACCGTGGAATGTGGTTTGAGGGGTATTTTGACCTGAAACGGCTCTGCAAAAAATGCTATGTAGATAAGTTAAATGACGTGTTTACTATAAACATCGCAATGGATGGCGTCATATTGAAAAATCTGTTACTACTGATAACTAACACATTCTGTAATTAAGGATATCACGTGTTGTTGATGGCGGTCGCCTATAAACAATCCTTGACAGTTGGAATGTAGATAAGACTAGGCCGTAGTGCCGCTGTCCTGCCAAACGTTCCCTCATAACACATTAGTTAACAAAAGCTGAGGGGTGGGGGAAAGGGAGAATAGTTCTAAATGGAGGAACTACATGGACGTAATGACTAATCTGAGACCATATAATGATACAATGGTATATTTTACCTTTAACATGGGTTTAACTTGGTAATCTTTAGTATGGTATATCCTTTAAATACAGTAATGGAAATGAAAGGAAATGAAATGGGGTTTAACGCCCTACTGTTCTGCTCCGACTGGGATAATGAAGACAGCGTGCTTGAGGTATATTTTGCCCGGGCAGCGACACTATTGCCCACTCTTATATCGAATTCCAACTGTCAAAGGATCTTTTACGTGCACGCCAATGTGTAAACAGGACCTCGGTCTTTTGTCCCATCCGAGCGACTAGACAGCTGTCCTTGTCAGACCCCCCATCCTGCACCATTGACAAAGGCAAACCACGTCGGAAAACCCGATGAATTTTTTCAGTTAATACCGGAAGCGAACCCGCGTCTTACTCTCGGAAATATACCATAACCTTATAACTAACAGTCCAACCTCGTGGGTTTTCCCCTGGTCCCTCGGTTTCTCCTACTGCTAAAGATCCCTTTCGCGGAAGCGAATTACTTAAATAAAATTGAAGCATATGTTAGTCCCAAAATGATCTAGTTTGTGTGGAGTGGACGTTAAACCTCTCCCTCTCTCTTTCTCTCTCTCTCGCTAACAGATGATCTATACCGACCAACTAGACGCCTTTCCTGTCTGACCCTCCGACCTCTGACCCCCGACCTGCCAGTTTGTTATTCATTAATCAACTCGTATCCAGTATCTGCTGACAACAGTGATGTCAGTCGTGTCAGTATGTCTAAGACGTTTGTTTATCACAACATGGAAGTTATAGTAGCCTACTTTCATTTTATTTTACAACTGTGCGTAAATCTCCCGATTGTTTGTACCTATTAATAGCTGGGTTGGTACCTAGTGGACCATGGATGTTAGACTCCCTGTAATGACACCGTGTGTTCCATAGGGCGTTGGGCTCTCTGGAATGGAATCTTGTTTGCCCATAGGCCGTTGGTCTCTCTTGGCTGGTACCTTATGGACCATAGAGTGTTGGGGTCTTGGGGATGGTACCTTCTGGATCATAGTGTATTGGGGTCTTTGGGATGCTACCTTATGGACCATAGAGTGTTGGGGTCTTGGGGATAGTACCTTCTGGATCATAGCGTATTGGGGTCTTGGGGATGCTACCTTATGGATCATAGAGTGTTGGGCGCATGGGGATGGTACCTAGTGGGTCATAGGATGTTGTGCTCTCTATGTTGGAAGTTTAGAGTCGACCCTGGTCTGGTGTAACGCCCATGATGCTAACAAGGAAAACGTGTTGAATCGGTCGCATGATCAGAAAAACAAGTACAACCTATATCATCGAGTACAATGGCGTGTCGTCTGCTTGTCAAACTGTTTGTAAAATTGATAGTTTGATATGTCGGATATACTAATTTCACTTAAACCAAACTGTGAATCGTTCAGCCATAGATCAACAGATTGACGTCTGCTTGTTTCGTCATACGGTCCAGTTATCCTCGTCTGCTGATGTTTGAATAAACAGTAAACACCAGTTCACCGTCTTGAGATTGCACTAGGTAGAAAGAAATGAAATGAAATGGGGTTTAACGTCCTACTGTTGTGCTCCGACTGGGCTAATGAAGACGGCCATACACTATATGCTTTGTACTGTGATGGAAATTTTACGCGGCCACCTGCAGTACGGACTACTGTTCTGCCCCGACCGGGATAATGAAAACGGATATACGTTATACAATGTGCTGTGAGAGAACCTTTGCACGGACAGCAGCCTACTGTTATTTATAATTCCAGCCATCAAGGGATGTTTGCGCGCACGCCAATGTGTACACGGGGTCCTTTCATTTGATTCAAACGACTTTCCATTGTCTCTTGCCAGGCCCTCCGTCTAGCACCTAGGTCGAAATGAAATGGGGTTTAACGTCCTACTCCTAAACTGGGCTAATGAAGACGGGCATACGCCATACAGTGTGATATGAGGGAAATTTTACCCGGGCAGCGGCGCTAAGGCCTACTTTTATATCGAATTGCAATTGCCAAGGATCTTTTACGTGCACGCCAATATGTAAAAGGGACATCGGTTTTTCGTTCCATCCGTCCTGCATCACCGACAAGGGGAAACCGCGCCGGAAAATCTGGATGAACTTTCTCGGTCAATGCAGGGATCGAACACCCGACCTCCAGGCTAGCCAGCCAGCGTCTTACCCACTTAGCCACGTGATCCCAAACCTAGGTCGAAGGACAGACATTATTAAATTCATGTTTAAAGGAGGTGACCCATCTGTTCCTAGTACGGTGGCTCAGCGAATAAGGTACTGGCTTACTAACCAAGAGGTTCTAGTTTGGTGGCAAAACTTTCGCGTGATCCCCTCCCTTCTCAGTTGGGGGTTGGGGGGTGACAATATACTAAAATTAAATAAATCTCCTGGCGAAGATGCTTTCATGAACGAGTATAAAGAAATATCATTCATGCATTGGTACCTACATATGTTCTTGTGTTTAATATTGTATTAAGAGAATTACATAAGAGAATTAATATCAAAGCCACATTATTGTCGGTCTCTCCGTTCAGACCTTCTTGTCATCCCAAAATTCAACCTTCAAATGAGTAGACGATCCTTCCAATTCTCTTCACCTAAACTATGGAATTCAATCTCACCTAACAGCAATCTGAAGAACTCTGAATCAATTGACATATTCAAACAAAGACTCAAAACTTATTTGATCCAATTACACTTTGGATAATTGGTAGATCTGTTAATCAAACATGCGCCTTTGGAACCATACATTTGGTGTTTAGGCGCTATATAAATACTTTAATGTTTAATGTTTGACACAGGAATAATTCCGTCCGACTGGTTAGTCGACTAATTATCCCCATTTATAAAAATAAAGGAGATGCCTTAAACCCTAGTACTTATTGACCAATCATTCTATTGAGCTGCCTGAGCAAATTGTTAACGAACGACTAAAATAATTCTCCGAAACTAATCGGATTATTTTATAAAATCAAGCAGACTTTCGGGAAGATTACTCCACAGTTGATCGTATTTTTAACTTGTATATCCTAATCCAACTTTATTATTATTAATATTACAGCTTATTTATAGTGCGCCCGGAGGACCCGGAGAAAACCCACGAGGTTGGAAAGGCGACCCTAGTCCTTGTCACGTACAACCGAGGAATCGAAACCACGCTAGTTGACTCAATGACAGACCGTATAATACAGCGCGCACGTGCTAACCATTCAGTCCCTACCCCACCCCCACCTAGGTTAATGAGGTTGTGGTGGGGATCAAGTGACAAGGTCGCCTGTCAAACCTCGTGGTTTATCTCCGGTGTCATCCCGCTACTAAAGATCCATACCTCTCCAACACCCCTCTCTCTCTCTCTCTCTCTTGTTTGCAGTTCGTTTTTACATTTTATATATCAAGCATTGGTTACATACGATACAAGCTGTCAATTATCTAATTTGTAAAATATGACGTAATTTATTATAATGATTGGTTAAAATTAGCCTAATAACGTCGAAAACCACCCTTATATGGATTAATCAAAGATCGAATTATATTATCATTTGAGTTTTGTCAGAAACTAATCGTCTGTTAAACGTGTGAAAAACTTTCACTTCAAAATATACCGCCATTTTAATCGCCTAGTACCGTTTTGATTGGTGATTGACTCAAGTCATTAACATTCCCGCCAAATAATTTGATCGTCTGTCGTCCGTGCAAACCGTTATAAACAAACTTATTGATACAATTCTGAACAGCCAATCAAATCACAGAAATATTTCCTAAAATTCCTTCGATGAGGGCAAACTATAAAAACCAGAGACGCAGCGTGTGTGAACCATCAAAGTGGGTTTCAAGCAAACGTTAACATTTTAACATTTCACTCTAACTGAAGGACAATGTTCTCTGAGGGTCACCATTTCAACCCTGTTCCAACAGACAGTTCCTTCACATTTATGGCGGGAAATAGCACTGATTGCAAATCAACGAATATTAAAGAAAAAACTTCCCAGCGACGAAATGAGAGAGAACGACAAAGAATCGGACACTTAAAGAAACATTTTGGTAATTTACAAACAAAATTACCTAAAGATTGGCAGAATTCCAAAATGAGCAAACTTGATATCTTGTCCAAAAGTATCCGTTATATCCGCCATCTTGAAAATCTGTTGTCAGGGAAGGACTGTGGTAACCAGGAAGTTGATCTATGGGCTTTGTGTAGTCCTCTTTTAGAAGCAGACGAACAACAAAATGGTGGATATCAAACTACTAGAACTGTGACGTATCAGCAACCATCTAAAGCACCAATGACGACATCAATGACGCCATCTCAGGGTCCAATGAATCGCGTTTTACCGGATTACACCATATCCGATTGCGACAAGCAGACCACGAGCACGAGATCCACAGATCTTCAATTCAATATGGTGCCTTTTCAGTCAACACTAGTGTCTCCCTCCCAAGAGCCATGCTCTGAAGGACAAGCGGTGGTGCCGTCAGGCGAGTATGACGCAATAATTCACTGGAACGGAAGACCACAGGTGCAACCTGACGAAACGATGGTAATGAATGCGAATAGAAAGGTTTATGATGGGCGACTCGAACAGATGGAAATTG